CAAATTTGGTGTCAATTCGTCCAATGGTTTTTGAGGTCTGTTAATCCCACAAACGAACATTACATTTTTATTTATATATATTATTATTGTAAATAATCCTTTTGTGATTTTTTAAAAAAGATTGGTCTCTGCATGTTTGCCTCCAAAGCTCTAAATTCTTTACAGCTACAACAAATGGCACTTCACGTTCTGCTCACTAATGAGCAGATGCTAAGCTTTATGTATCGTTTGTTTTTGGATGCTCTGCTTTATTTTAGGGCAGTTTTGCTTTCAGAAGGAATGGAATGTGACCATTATTACTTTAACACACTAATATTTATTAAAAATATTTAACATACCAATATAATAATACCATTTAATATACTGATATTTAATAATAATATTTAATATACTAATATACCAAGAAATACTCTCCATTTCCTTGAACCATTTCCTGAACAAAAATTAAAATAACAAAATTATTTTTGGAAACTTATTTTTGCTTTTAAAATGTATTGTATTTCTGTTTGTAATATTTCATATAAAAAATCAGATTCATGCTACTTTCTGTTATATCTCTGAAGGAAAAGTAATTCAATGGATTATTCTTAATCTCAGGAATTTCTTAAATGGCATTATCTGGTCAGATATATTTTCTGAGATGTTTTACATAAATATCATCCAAATTAAAGAAATCAAGATGAGCTCTTCTCTTTCTTCTCTGCCGCCCTCCAGTGGTAGAGAAAAACACTGCAGCTCGATTCCATCCTTCCTTTAATAATAATACTAATAATACTAATAATAATCATAATAATAACACTTTATTTGTACCCCGCTACCATCTCCCCAAGGGACTAGGTGCGGCTTACATGAGGCCGAGCCCAAATACAACAATACAAGCAATTAAAAACACATAGACAATAAGAAACAACATTATCAATAAGACAACACATAATTAAAAACAGTGGGAAGGCCAAATGTTAGGTTAAAATTGGAAATAATGTTGGGACATGAACGGAAGGTGATACTGGTATTTGTGGAAGGGCATACGAGTAGACCTAAAGAAATGTAAAGTGATTTGGAGGACAAAGTGCTATGGGGTCATTATTCCGGGAAGGCACACTTTCCCTCCATTCATTTCAATGGAGCCTCCCTGCCTTCCTTCCTCCAGCAGGGAGTGAACAAATGAACATAGAAATACAATAAATTACTAAATTTCATGGTTAAAAACAACAACCTATATATATAAGAATGCTCTGTGCATAATGAGTACCTTAAAAACAAAAGAACCAATGAACGAAATCACACCAAATTTGGCAACAAAACATCTCACAACACAAGGAGTAACCATCACTCAAAAAAAATATGATTTTGTCATTTGGGAGGTGTAGTTGCTGGGATTTATAGTTTACATATAATCAAAGAGCATTCTGAACTCCATCAAAGATGGAATTGAACCAAACTTGGCACACAGAACTCCCTTGACCAACAGAAAATACTGGAAGGGTTTGGTGGGCATTGACCTTGAGTTTGGGAGTTGTAGTTCACCTACATCCAGAGAGCACTGTGGACTCAAACAATGATAGATCTGGACCAAACTTGGCACAAGCACTCAATACGCTCAAATATGAATACAGATGGAGTTTGGGGAAAATAGACCTTGAAATTTAGGAGTTGTAGTCACTGGGATCCACAGTTCATCTACAATCAAAGAGCATTCTGAACCCCACGAATGACAGAATTGGGGCAGACTTCCCACACAGACCCCCATGACCAACAGAAAATACTTAAGGTCATCCAGTCCAACTCCCTTCATCAGGGCAAGAAAACGTAATCGAAGTCCTCCTGACAAAGTATTTTCTGTTGGTCGAGGGAGTTCTGTGTGCCAAGTTTGGTTCAGTTCCATCATTGATGGAGTTCAGAATGCTCTTTGAATGTAGGTGAACTATAAATCCCAGCAACTACAACTCCCAAATGACAAAATCATAATTTTTGAGTGATGGTCACTCCTTGTGTTGTGAGATGTTTTGTTGCCAAATTTGATGTGATTTCATTCATTGGTTCTTTTGTTTTTAAGATATTAATTATGCACAGAGCATTTATATATGCTCTGTGCATAATGAGTACCTTAAAAACAAAAGAACCAATGAACAAAATCACACCAAATTTGGCAACAACTTTGCTCATGGGGGTTCTGTGTGGGAAGTTTGGCCCAACTCTGTCCTTGGTGGGGTTCAGAATGCTCTTTGATTGTAGGTGATCTATAAATCCCAGTAACTACAACTCCCAAATGTCAGGGTTATTTCCCCAAACTCCATCTGTGTTCATATTTGGGCATATGGAATAGTCATGCCGAGTTTGGTCCAGATCCATCATTGTTTGAGTCCAAAGTGCTCTCTGGATGTAGGTGAACTACAACTCCCAAACTCAAGGTCAATGCCCACCAAACCCTTCTACTGTTTTCTGTTGGTCTTGGAAGTCCTGTGTGCCAAGTTTGGTTCAATTCCATCATTGGTGGAATTCAGAATGCCTTTTGATTGTAGGTGAACTATAAATCCCAGCAACTACAACTCCCAAATGACACAATCAATTTTTCTGAGTGATAGTCACTCATTGGGTTGCTAGGTCTATTCTGTCAAAATTTGGTGTCAATTCGTCCAGTGGTTTTTGAGTTCTGTTAATCCCACAAACTAACATTACATTTTTATTTATATAGAAGATATGCATATGCAGTGGGCATGATCTTCACTGCACAACAGCTCCAAGAAAAATGCAGGGAACAAAATCAACCTCTGTACATGGCATTCATTGATCTTGCAAAGGCATTTGACACAGTGAATCGTAGCGCTCTCTGGACCATCCTCCAAAAAATCGGGGGCCCTAACAAATTTGTGAACATCCTGCGGCTCCTCCATGATGACATGATGGCAACAGTCTTGGACAGCAATGGCTCCGAAAGTGACCCATTTAAGGTGGAATCAGGTGTCAAACAGGGATGTGTTATTGCCCCAACTTTATTCTCCATCTTCATCGCTGTGATACTTCACCTTGTTGATGGGAAGCTTCCCACCAGAGTGGAAATCACCTATCGGACAGATGGAAAGCTGTTTAACCTCAGCATACTGAAAGCCAAAACCAAGGTTACAACATCTGTTATAGAACTCCAGTATGCTGATGACAATGTCGTCTCTGCCCATTCAGAAGAAGATCTACAAGTCACTCTAAACACCTTCGCAGAAGCATACACGAAGCTTGGCCTGTCACTGAACATCGAGAAAACCAAAGTGCTGTTCCAGCAGTCACCAGCCATCCGCTCTCCAATACCAGAGATACAGCTTAATAGTGTAACATTAGAAAATGTTGACCATTTCCGCTACCTTGGCAGCCACCTCTCCACCAAAGTCAACATCGACACTGAAAAACAACCCCGCCAGAGCTCTGCGAGTGCAGCATTTTCCCGAATGAAGCAGAGAGTGTTGGAGGACCAGGACATCCATAGGGATACCAAGGGGCTTGTCTATAAAGCTATTGTCCTCCCAACCCTGCTATATGCCTGCGAGATGTGGACTGTCTACAGACGTAACTCCTGGAACGATTCCATCAGCGCTGCCTCTGGAAAATCCTGCATTGCATACACAATGAAGACAGCTCATCTTTTTTTACTTGATTCCATATTTAGAGCTCTCTTTTGCCTGCCAAAAGAGTAGGATCAGCATACCAATCAATGAACCCTATCATGGCATGGGAGTTGTTATCCAACATCTGGAGGGACAGACTCCCTTCATTCACTTCATTCTCCGCTCATGTAGCTATTCTTTTCCAATGTATTGTGAAAGGCTTTCGTGGCTGGAATCATTGGGTTGTTGTTGGTTTTTTCAGGCTATATGGCCATGTTCAAGAGACATTCTCTCCTGACGTTTCGCCTGCATCTATGGCAAGCATCCTCAGAGGTAGTGACCTCACTATCAGTGCTGCCTCCAGAAAATCCTGCAAATCTCTTGTCTAGACAGGTGGACAAACGTCAGTATGCTGGAAGAAGCAGACCACCAGCACTGAAGCGATGGTCCTCCGCCATCAACTCCGCGGCGCCGGCCACGTTGTCTGGATGCCTGACCACCGTCTCCCAAAGCAGTTGCTCTACTCCGAACTCAAGAATGGAAAACGGAATGTTGGTGGGCAGGAAAAGAGATTGAAAGATGGGCCCAAAGCCAACCTTAAAAACTCTGGCATAGACACTGAGAACTGGGAAGCCCTGGCCCTTGAGCGCTCCAGCTGGAGGTCAGCTGTGACCAGCAGTGCTGCAGAATTTGAAGAGGCACGAATGGAGGGTGAAAGAGAGAAACGTGCCAAGAGGAAGGCGCGTCAAGCCAACCCTGACCGGGACCGCCTTCCACCTGGAAACCAATGCCTTCACTGTGGGAGAAGATGCAGGTCAAGAATAGGGCTCCACAGCCACCTACGAATCCACAAGGAAACCCATCATGGAGGACCATCGCCTAAGTAAGTAAGTAAGTATGCTTACAGTAAGTATAGGGGACTCTTTTCCCATGTTATACATTGTATATCTAGTATTTAATGCAAAATAAATACATTAAAAAGTGGCATAATTATTCTCTCTTGAGCTCTGCTCATGTCATATCCCATCACTGATGTACTAGAAATAATAATAATGCCTAAAATGTCTGTGAGTGGCAACTGAGGCCTTTTTTCTTGTGAGGAGAAACCCCCAGCTGACTGTCACGTGCCTGGCATGGAGGCGGACTCCCCGTTGTCAGGGAGATAACGGTCCACTTCAAGAGGGAACCTGGATCCCGACCAATCACCACACGGCTGTCCCCTCCCTTCGGCGCTGACTGGACACCAAGCCTACCACTCCATGACGTCTTCATGCCGTCTCAGCCTATGAACGGCCGCAGTTGGAAATGGCACAGCCCCGCCTACCGTCGCCTGGAATTGATGGACAAGAGGTTCGCCGCTCGCTGGCCAATCAGCGTCGAGGAGAAGAGTCTGTGGGCGGGTTTTTTGTGACATCCTCATCCCTCTGCCTCACTTTAATCTCTGCAAGGTTTTGAGGAAGCTGGTTTGGCTGGAGGCTGGTGAGAAAGCCAAGCACATCTGAGACTTGGGTGCTGGGGGTCTTCATCCTAATTTTCAGCCATTTCTATTAAAAAGGGGAATTATTATTATTTGTGAAATGATGATTATTGTATGGGGAGTTATTATTGCTACTATTATTATTTTATTATTGTTATTAAGTGGGGAGTTATTCATTACCCTTATTGTTATTATGTTGGGAAGTATTATTTGTGTAATTATTACTACTACTATTATTTGGGGAATTATTATTATTATTTGGGGAATTATTATTGCTACTATTATGTTATTACTGTTATCATTACCATTATCATATAGGGGAATTACTCTTCTGTTATTATGCAGGGAAGTATTCTTTGTGGAATTATTACTACTATTGTTTGGGGAATTATTATTATTGCTGCTATTATGTTATTACTGTTATCAATACCATTATCATATGGGGAAATACTCTTAGTGTTATTATGTGGGGAAGTATTATTTGTGGAATTATTACTACTATTATTTGGGGAATTATTATTATTATTATTATTATTTGGGGAATTATTATTGCTACTATTATGTTATTGCTGTTATCAATACCATTATCATATGGGGAAATACTCTTATTGTTATTATGCAGGGAAGTATTCTTTGTGGAATTATTACTACTATTGTTTGTGGAATTATTATTCTTACTATTATGTTATTACCGTTATCACTACCATTATCATATGGGGAATTACTCTTCCGTTATTATGCAGGGAAGTATTTTTGTGGAATTATTACTACTATTGTTTGGGGAATTCTTATTATCATTGCTACTATTATGTTATTACTGTTATCAATGCCATTATCATATGGGGGAATACTCTTATTGTTATTATGCAGGGAAGTATTTTTGTGGAATTATTACTACTATTATTTGGGGAATTATTACTGTTTGGGGAATTATTATTGCTACTATTACGTTATTACTGTTACCATTACCATTATCATATGGGGAATTACTCATCTGTTATTATGCAGGGAAGTATTTTTTGTGGAATTATTACTACTATTATTTGGGGAATTATTATTATTATTATTATTATTATTATTATTATTTGGGGAATTATTATTGCTACTATTACGTTATTACTGTTACCATTACCATTATCATATGGGGAAATACTCTTCTATTATTATGCAGGGAAGTATTTTTGTGGAATTGTTGCTACTATTGTTTGGGGAATTATTATTATTGCTACTATTATGTTATTACTGTTATCAATACCATTATCATATGGGGAAATACTCTTATAGTTATTATGTGGGGAAGTATTATTTGTGGAATTATTACTACTATTATTTGGGGAATTATTATTATTATTCTTTGGGGAATTATTATTGCTACTATTATGTTATTACTGCTACCATTACCATTATCATATGGGGAATTACTCTTCTGTTATTATGCAGGGAAGTATTTTTTATGGAATTGTTACTACGATTGTTTGGGGAATTATTATTATTGCTACTATTATGTTATTACTGTTATCAATACCATTATCATATGGGGAAATACTCTTATTGTTATTATGCAGGGAAGTATTTTTGTGGAATTATTACTACTGTTATTTGGGGTATTATTATTATTTGGGGAATTGTTATTGCTATATTATGTTATTACTGTTTTCATTACCATTATCATGGGGAATTACTCTTCTGTTATTATGCAGGGAAGTATTTTTTGTGGAATTATTACTACTATTGTTTGGGGCATTATTATTATTGCTACTATTATGTTATTACTGTTACCATTACCATTATCATATGGAGAATTACTCTTCTGTTATTATGCAGGGAAGTATTCTTTGTGGAATTATTACTACTATTGTTTGGGGAATTATTATTGCTACTATTATGTTATTACTGTTATCAATACCATTATCATATGGGGAAATACTCTTATTGTTATTATGTGGGGAAGTATTATTTGTGGAATTATTACTATTATGTGTGGAATTATTATTGTTGTTTGCGGAATTATTATTTTTATATGAGGACTTTTAATTGTTGGTAATATTACGTTATTATTGTTATTGCTATTATCATGTGGGGAATTACTCTTATTACTCTTATTGTTATGTTTGGAATTATTACTTGTGGAATTATTACTATTATTACTTGGGGAATTGTTGTTAATATTATTATTATATAGGGACTTATTATTGCAACTATCATTATGTTATTACTGTTACTATTACCATTATCATGTGGGAAATTGCAACTATTACAATTATTATTTGGGGAATTATTATTAAATGGGGGCTTCTTATTACTGCTACTATTATTATGTTTTTACTGTTATTATCAGGTGGAGAATTACTCTTCTTCTTCTTATGTGTGGAATTATTTTTTGTTGAACTATTTCTACTATTATTTTGGGAATTATTATTGTTTGGGATATTATTATTCTTATATGGGGACTTCTTATTACTTTACTATCATTATGTTATTATTCTTATTATTACCATCATCATGTAGGGAATTACTCTTATTTCTCTTACTGTTTTTATGTGGGGAATTATTATTTCACAGATTCTGCAGTAAAATGATAGGTTGAAATCTCTGTAGTCAAGAACAAACCTTTATTTAATTTAAAATAGAAGTAAATGCATGAATAAAATAAATATGCTCTGAAGTGGCAAGTAGAAATGGGCGATATGAAGTCCAGTGTGGGTTGTGAGCAACTAACACATCTATTCCTTTGAAAATTGCTGCAGTGGATTCTGATGTTTTCTTGAATAATTACATGTACAGATACCATATATACTCGAGTATAAGCTGACCTAAATATAAGCCAAGGCACCAAATTTTACCACAAAAACTGGGAAAATGTATTGACTCAAGTATAAGCCAAGGATGGGAAATGCAGCAGCTACTGGTAAATCTATATAAATAAAAATGTAATGTTCGTTTGTGGGATTAACATAACTCAAAAACCACTGAGCGAATTGACACCAAATTTGGACACAAGACACTTGTCAGGTCAAGGAGTGACCATCACACATAAAAGCACAGAAAAACACAGTGGAAGAGACTTTAAAAGCCAAAAAATAAAAAATACATTACAACGCATGCACAAACCACATATACACAAATATATGCACACACATATATACACACACAAAACACATATATACAGACTGGGCCACAGCAACGCGTGGCAGGGGATGGCTAGTGTCAAAATAAAAATAGATACCAATAAAATGATATTAACTGAGGCATCAGTAAGTTAAATGTTTTTTAATATTTACATAAAACTGTAATTTAAGATAAAACTGTCCAATTCTGATTACACCATTATTCTAACCTTTTTCAATGTAAATGTGCTTATATTTCCTTCCCATAATAATAGAGTAAAATAATGAATGTAATAATAACAATAATAGAGTAAAATAATAAATGTAATAATAATAATAATAAAGTAATGTGGATGTAATATAAAATAAAAATGTAAATGTCTGTTTGTGAATAACCTCAAATCTCCCAAAATACTTCACCAATTGCTTCGAAATTTGGACACAATGTAGCATTCGCACTGGCAAATGTTTTTATGTATTCACATACCTACTATTCTAAAGATGTCACCCCTTTGACAGGTAAAACCATGCTTGGCATCAAGAATAGCACCATCTACTGGATGGTAGGGAAATCCAGGTTAGAAAGAGGGGCAGGGAAGGGCAGGGCATGGGCCCAGGGGAGGGAGAGAAGGAGGCAGGCAAGGAGGTAGGCCAAGCTCCGAGCTCCCATAGCCCCATGCCCTGCCCGGCCTTGTCCGGCACCACCTCACGCCCACACCTCCAGGAAGACTGGAGGCTCAGAAGGAAGGAAGGATTGAATGGTAGGAAGGGAGAGATAGATAGGAGGAAAGGAAAGAAAAGTGTTTCCCCAAAACACACTGATCATTATTATATAGACCAGTATCATATTTATTATTATTATTAATACACCAATATTATTATTACATTGATTATATAAGCCAGTATTATTATTATTTACACAATTAGTATTATTTCACAGACAATGGAACAACAAAAAATATTGTATACCCACAAGCATTATGAAATCACACATATTAGAAACCAGCTCTTTCTCTTTCCTTTCTTTTCCAAACAGACTGGGCCACAGCAATGCATGGCCGGGTACAGCAAATATTTACATAAAACTGTAATTTAAGATAAGACTGTCTAACTCTGATGAAACTATTATTCTGACCACCTTCAATGTAAATGTGCTTACGTGTCCTTCCAATAATAATAGAGTAAAATAATAAATTTAATAAAAATAATAGAGTAAATTAATGTAAATGTAGTAATAATAAATAGAGTAAAATAATAATAATAATGAAGTACACTAATAATTAACTTTGACTCGAGTATAAGCCAAAGGGGACGTTTTCAGCCTAAAAAAGGGGATGAAAAACTCAGCTTATACTCGAGTATATAGGGTATATGACTTTGGGATGAAGTCAGGAGATAATTAACACAAATCGTTACAGCCTTTTCTGAAATAGTTCCCACATGTTTTCATCTCCGCTACCAAGTAATCATATTCCTCTTTCTTCACCTAATCCTGCAACTAGGCTTGTCACAGCTTGGCCTAATTCGATGAAGCCTGAGAATAAAATTAAGACAACCTTAGCTTCAATGTGGAAATTTACAAGGAGTGTGTGAAAGATGAGATCAGGGCTGATGGATGAATGGATTTTGAACAGGCGAGGAGTAGAGAAGTTTTGAGATAGGAGACAGAGAGAGAACAATTTGTCATTGCTGAAGTAGCCTTTGGGACAAAGTGCGATGTTTGAATGATTTGGATTGCAACCCCGAAGAACTCTTTCTGTGCTATTGAATCGAGGGGAAAATACCTGTCTTGTTCTTGTTAATTTGCAGACTTGAAATACCACCAAGCAGCTCCCTTTGGGTTGGTCAAGGCTTTGCTTCTTCAGCCTTTGGCCCCTCCTTGGACCAGCCATGATTCACAGCCTCTTCCTGATTAACTCGTCTGGAGACATCTTCCTAGAAAAACACTGGAAAAGCGTCGTCAGCCGCTCAGTTTGCGACTACTTTTTCGAGGCTCAGGAGCGGGCTTCAGAGGCGGAAAACGTGCCCCCTGTGATCTCAACCCCCCACCACTACCTCTTAAGTGTTTATCGGCACAAGATCTTCTTTGTGGCTGTGATCCAAACAGAGGTGCCCCCTCTTTTTGTCATCGAGTTTCTCCACCGGGTTGTGGATACTTTTCAGGTTGGTGAAAGTGTGTGGATATTTCGGATCAGTTCAGTCATGTTATTTATTTACTAGCTCAGGTACTCGGCATTGCCTGGAATATATGAAAAAGTCAATTTTTAATTGTACAAAATGTATAAAGTTGTGAGCGAACTACAACACACATCATGCCAGGTTAACCCCGAAGAACTAGATCAGTTTGCTCTAGATGCATCATCACTGGGGTTCAGTGTGCTCTCTGGCTGTGGGGTAAACTAGAACTTCCACTATGGTGAGTCAGCCCCCTCAAACCCCTCCAGTAGGTTGAGTTAGTCATGGGGGTTCTGTGTGCCAAGTTTGGTCCAGGTCTATCATTGGTGGAGGTCAGAGTTTTCCTGCTTGTGGGTGAACTACAACTCCCAGAAAGGAAGGTCAGTTCTCCCCAATCAAATTTCAACATATCAGGTATGTGTGCTAAGTTTGGTCCAATTCTATCTTTGGTGGAATTCGGAGTGCTCATTGATTTCAGGTGAGCTATACATCCCAGTACCTACAGCTCCTATAAGCCATGGTGAATTCTCCCCAAACCTCTCTCTGCTTGCTGTGTGCCATAGAAAATAACAAGAAAGAGTTGAGGGAGAGGCAGTGGGTGGGATCATGCACTTTCCACACCAATGGAGAGAGTCAGAAACTGGGATGTCTGTGGTGGAGGAAAAACAGAAAATCTGGTATGAAATTGTCTCCTTATGAAAGCCTGCTTTTCTGGTCTGGGTGGTGCCTTTAATTTCTTTCTGGTGTTAATTGCTTTCCCAGCTGGCCAAGGGATCATGGGATTTGTAGTACCATTTTAATATCTATTATCAGTCAGGATAGACAGTAATGAACAAGATACTTGATAGTTCCAGGGGCCAATTTTCTGCCATTGGAAGCCTCTGGAGGCCACACAAACTGCCAAAGATATCAAACCAAGCCAAACCTGGAAGTATATTAAACTCTACTTACAGTTTCAAATAAGAAGTATTGTAAAAATGTTTGTGCAAGCAGAGAATGGTGCATGAGATCCATTAAAAAGTTTAATAGCTGCTCCCAGAGTATTGGAAAATCACTTTGCCCCATTTTTGCCAGAAAAAGAGTACCATCGTTTGGAGGCGTATCCAGTTGTGTTTGCGTGGCTCCAAAATCATCAATGGAGCCCTCTTGGCTTTGTCCATCTCTGAGCAACGCTCACATCATATGATCAGATTATGACGGGCAATGCAAGGAGCCTCCAGATTTTCCACTCAAGGCACTAAAAGGTTTTTGGTTGGCAAAAGGGAGGAAACAGTGAGGGGGAGACTATGTTGTATGTGCCATTCTTCAAAGGGTCTGGCTGATCATGGGACTGAGATTTTGCCTTCTAGCTAAAGGACATGCTCCTTGTGATACTCCATGTGCGTTTGAATCCTATGATTAAATTCTCCTTTTTTTCTCCTCATCTTTAAAAAAAAACACAAAGTAAAACAGGGAAAAAATAACTACGACTTGGGCAACCAATCCACGTTTGGCTGAGGGATACAGTATTTGGAAGCTATATTCCAAAAAAGCAGCCTTTCCAGGCTCTGTCCAAGCAGCCATTCCATTCAGAGCAGAAACATCTAGCTCTAGTTCTGCTAGAGTTGCAAGAAACAATGTTGGAATTGGAGCTGGTAACCTGATGAGGGGAGGAATGTCAGAGCTGCTTCTCTGGGAGTCTTTTATTATATATGTGCCTTGTTTCCTCCTCCAGTTACCACTGTTGGAAGCACGGGTCTGTTCCTTTTGTTCTTTGCAGGTGAGGGGCGGAGGATGGGGCCCAATTTAACATAGGTCTGTCGTACACCAGAGTCCCTTATATTCCGGCATATAAGACGACTGGGCGTACAAGATGACCCCCACATTTTCCAGTTAAAATACAGAGTTTGAGATATACTTACCATATAAGACTACCCCTTAGGCTTAGAAATGGAGATGAGCACTGATCCCCAGAGTTGGACAAGACTGCACTTAATGTCAGGGGAAAACCTTTACCTTACCTAGAGTGAGGGCCAGCTAACACCTCCCAACAAAGGAGTTGGGCATCACAATTGAAGAGATATTGACAAGCTGGAATGTGTCCAGAGGAGGGCGACTAAAATTATCAAGGGTCTGGAGAACAAGCCCTATGAGGAGTGGCTTAAAGAGCTGGGTATGTTTAGCCTGAAGAAGAGAAGGCTGAGAGGAGACATGATGAGGGCCATGTATAAATATGTGAGAGGAAGTCATAGGGAGGAGGGAGCAAGCTTGTTTTCTGCTTCCCTGGAGACTAGGATGCGGAACAAGAAAGGAGATTCCATCTGAACATTAGGGAGAACTTCCTGACTGTGAGAGACGCTCAGCAGTGGAACTCTCTGCCTCGGAGAGTGGTAGAGGCTTCTTCTTTGGAAGCCTTTAAACAGAGGCTGGATAGCCATCTGTCGGGGTGCTTTGAATGTAATTTCTCCCCTTCCCATTGAAAGCCAAGGCAAGCCTGGAATGGAGGGGGCTCCTCCATTCCAGGCCTGCCTTGGCTTTCAATGCAGCAGAGGAGGAGAAGGCGAAATAGCCGCCGGATGGCTGAATCACCTCCTCCTCCTCCCCATTGAAAGCCAAGGCAAGCTTGGAATGGAGGAGGATGCTCAGCACTGGGAGACAAGCGTTGCTGGAGGGCAGCCCTCTGTTCCGCTTGTAATCCGCCGCTGGGCTTCAGCTTCACCGAGGCTCCTCCATTCCAGGCCTGCCTCGGAATGGGCTGCCCTCCAGCACTGCTTGCCTCCGGGTGCTGAGCTTCAGTTTCACCGAGGGGCTCCTCCACTCCATGCCCGCCTCGGCTGTTAGTGCGGTAGCGGAGGAGGAGGAGGCGACGTGGCCATCCGACGAGTATATTGCCTCCTCCGCCGCCACCGCTCCCCTGATAACCAAGGTGGGCATGGAGTGGAGGAGCTCCTCGGTGTGGCTGAAGCTCAGCAGTGGGAGACAAGCGGCACTGGAGGAGAGCAGCAGCTCAGCAATTGCCTGCTTCCCTCGCCTCGACCCAAAACAGGAAGCGATTTTTTATACCCGGCGTACTAGATGACTCCCAAGTTCAGGAAGGATTTTCCAGGCTTAAAAAGTCATCTAGTACGCCGGAATGTACGGTACCTATATAATATCTTTGAACTGGGTTATATGGCAGTGTGGACTCAGATAACCCAGGGCGCTTCCACCCTTCCATATAACCCTTTGGCCTCGAGGAGACTGAAATGGGCCTAATATTATGTTGACACTTTGCCACTTCAGTTGTGTATTGATAGCTTAGAAACAAACTCTTTTCTTTCTTTCCCATTTCTCAATGGGCCACAGCTATGTGTGGCCGGGTACAGCTAGTTGTAAATAAACCTTTTGTGATTTTTAAGATCGGGCTGTACATGTTTGCCTCCTAATCTCTGAATTCTTTACAGCCACATCACACGCCACTTCACGCTTTGCGTGCTGTGAGCTGATGCTCAACTTTTGTATTCTGTTTGATTTTTAGATGCTCTGCTTTATTTTAGGATAATTTTCCCTAACTATTTATTTATTTATTGTGTCAGAAGCAAATTGAGGGTACAGTTAAAATAGATTTTGAAACACAAACAAATTTAAAAACTTGGCATTATACTAAATGTTCTTTGAGCAGTAGGTGGCCACTTGGAGTGCCTATGGTGTGGCTGTAAAGAGGTTCTCCATTGTACATGTGGCAGGTCTCAGGTTGCATTGTAGTAGGTGGTCAGTGGTTTGCTCTTCTCTGCACTCACATGTCATGGACTCCACTTTGTAGCCCCATTTCTTAAGAATGGCTCTGCATCTTGTGGTGCCAGAGCGCAGCCTGTTCAACGCCTTTCAAGTTGCCCAGTCTTCTGTGTGCCCTGGGGAGTTTCTCATTTGGTCTCAGCCACTGATTGAGGTGCTGCGTTTTAGCCTGCCACTTTTGGACTCTTGCTTGCTGAGGTGTTCCTGCGAGCTTCGCTGTAGGTCTTAGGAAGCTGTTTCTTGATTTAAGTTGTTGGCATGCTGGCTGATATCATAACAGCTACTGAGAGCTGGCTGGGGATTCTGAGAGTTGCAGTCCAACACACCCAAATTGTAACAGATTGGGGCAGACTACTCGGTTGTTCCAGGACTATCTATTTCTCACTCAACAACCTTCCTTGGTATTTCTGACCTTACTGCTTTCCTTTATGACAAAGCTACCCAAGGCTCTTATTTTTCATATTTTTGAAAAAATGCTTCTTCTCACTCATCTTGCTGTCTCGTTCCCAGGATTATTTTGGGGTCTGCTCTGAGGTCATCATAAAGGATAATGTGGTGGTGGTCTACGAAGTGCTGGAAGAGATGCTGGACAATGGGTTCCCACTGGCTACAGAATCCAACATCCTGAAAGAGTTAATCAAGCCACCTACTATCCTCCGGACAGTTGTCAACACCATTACAGGTCTGAGAGAGATCACATGTGTCTGTTTCAGTACTGCTATTTTTTTCCAGCTTTGGCATACACTTCTTAGCCCAAACTTGTACATCAAGCCCTCTGTATCAATTTGTCGGATTTGACACAGGCAAGTAGCCAATGTAAGGTCCCATCTGCCCCTTGGCTTTAATTTAAACAAAAACAAAAAAGCCCCTGTTCTTGATGGGCTGCATGGCGGGCGGAGCCAGGGGGGTGAGTTGGGAGGAAGGGGGTTCTTCCCAAGCCCCCTCCCTGCCCTTTGCTCCCCTTTCTCTTCTCTTCAGCTTTTAAACATTGCTGTGTTTTATGCACATTTTTTTGTCCCTGGCCTCCACTAAGTAATCTTGTTTTTATGGATTGCTGCCTAGTTCAGATATTTCCAAGTTGTAGTTCTTGGAGGCTTTGGCCAATTAAATTTGTTAGCCGTTAAAGTGCTGTAAAATACAAAAGAACACCATAAAGCCAAGGTAGCGTTAGCAGCAAAATGCTGAACCATGGAAAGCTAGGGGAAAAAGAGCCCCTAAATCAGTGTTCCTCAACCTGGGGGTCAGGACCCTTGTGGGGGGGGGGGTCTTGAGGGGGTTTAATAGAGATTGCCAATGACTATCAGAAAACATTTTTGATGGTCTCAGGAGCCCCTTTGGCAGAGAAGGCTGAAGATCTCTCCACCTGCACTTTTCTTCCTTTTTTGGAACCAGACGTTGAATCCTTCCACCAAAACCCCTCCACTGCTGTGATTGGCCAGCCTCTCAGCTGGGGAAAGATTGTTTTTGAGACTCCAAACAGGGGAGGGAGGGAGAGCAGGTGTGCTTGGCGCATGGCAGCCTCTTGCACATGTGCAATTGAGGGAGAGAGTGCGAGGCTGGAGGGAGGCCATAGACTCTACCTAATTTCCTGGGCCCTCTAAAATTCCACTAGCCCGGCCCGGCCTTTTAAACTGCCTTGAACAGGCAGGATTATTTTAAATACATGTCCTATTGTGGTTTTTAATGCTTATTTTGTCTTGTTAATTTTATGATCATGCTGTTCTCGTTGTATGTATTGATTATGTCACTTGGAAACTGCTCTGAGTCCCCTTGGAGAGATAGAGTGGTATATAAATAAAGTTTTGTTTTGTTGTTGTTGTTGAGGCTCGCACCATCGAGTCCATTCAAGGCATGGGGGTTCTGTGAGGGAAGTTTGGTCCAATTCTATTGTTGGTGGGATACAGAATGTTCTTTGATTGTAGGTGAACGATAAATCCTAGCAACTACAACTCCCAAACATCAAGGTCTATTTTCCCCAAACTCCACCAGTATTCACATTTGGTCATATTGAGTATTCATGCCAAGTTTGGTTCAGATCTATTATTGTTTGAGTCCACAGTGCTCTCTGGATGTAAGTGAACTACAACTCCAAAAGTCAAGGTCAGTGCCCGCCAGACACTTCCAGTATTTTGCTCATGGGAGTTTTGTGTGCTGAGTTTGGCTCAATTCCATTGTTGGCGAAATTCAGAATGCTCTTTGAATTATAAATCCCAGCAACTACAACTCCCAAATGATAAAATCAAACCCCCAACCCCACTAGTATTCAAATGTGGGTGTATCGGGTATTTGTGCCAAATTTGGTCCAGTGAATGAAAATACATCCTGCATATCAGATACTTACATTAAAATTCATAACAATAGCAAAATTACAGTTATGAAGTAGCAACGAAAATAGTGTTATGGTTGGGGGTCACCACATCATGAGGAACTGTATTAAGGGCTTGAGGAATTTGGAAGATTGAGAAACACTGCCCTAAGTAGAGGACTACTATGATTTAGAAACAGTAGATAAAGAGTTATTAAAAGACCTGACAAGGGATAAACTAAGGCAAATTTGGTGTAAGAAATTAGTTTACAATTCTGACCTCAGTGGAACATAGATACTTAAGATGGAGAAAACTCTGAGTGTCCATGCTGCCTGGAACTTCTGGGGGTTGTAGTCCACAAAAGTGAGCTCTGGTTTCCCAATATGGTCTGTAAATCCAGCAGATTCAAAATAATGTAGTCCTGTATCGTTTTGGCCATTGTACTGTGGCCATTGTACTGTCGGGTTCCGCAGGGTTCAGTATTGTCCCCTATGTTGTTTAACATATACATGAAGCTGTGGGAGAGATCATCCGGAGTTTCGGGGTACGGTATCATCTCTATGCAGATGATGTCCAGCTCTGTTACTCCTTCCCACCTGCTACTAAGGAGGCTGTTCAAGTCCTGAACCAGTGCTTGGCCGCTGTAATGGACTGGATGAGGGCTTACAGATTGAAACTAAATCCAGACAAGACAGAGGTACTCCTGGTCAGTCGAACAGGCATACGGTTACAACCTGTGCTTGACGGGGTACACTCCCCCTGAAGGCGCAGGTTCGCAGCTTGGGAGTGATCCTGGACTCATTGCTGAGCTTGGAACCCCAGGTCTCGGCGGTGGTCAGGGGAGCTTTTGCACAATTAAAACTTGTGCACCAGCTGCGCCCGTACCTTGGGAAGTCTGACTTGGCCACGGTGGTACATGCTCTTGCTTCATCCCGTATAGACTACTGCAATGCTCTCTAAAGACTGCCCAGAAGCTACAACTAGTACAACGAGCGGCAGCCAGATTACTAACAGGAGCGGGGGACAGGGAGCATACTACTCCTCTGTTGCGCCAGCTCCACTGGCTGCCAATCAGCTTCTGAGCACAATTCAAAGTGCTGGTGTTGACCTATAAATCCCTAAATGGCTCTGGCCCTATTTACCTGTCCGAACGGATTCTCCCCTATGAACCATCAAGATTATTAAGATCTTCTGGAGGGGCCCTGCTCTCGGTTCCACCGCCTTTGCAATCGCGTTTGGTAGGGACGAGGGACAGGGCCTTTTCTGTGGTGGCCCCTCGGCTTTGGAACTCCCTCCCGATGGAGATTAAATCTGCCTCCTCCCTCCTGACGTTTAGAAAGCTGGTAAAAACATGGCTTTGGGATAGTGCATTCGCAGAATGATGATTGTGTCAATAACTGCTGACCTTTCTGGTGGATGGCGATGAATTTGTGATTCTTTTGGACAAACTGATTTTTGCTGTAACCTGTATGAATTGTATAATTGTATTTTAATGTATTTTATATTGATGATTTATAATGTTTTTCTTATTGTATTGACTCTTATGTTGTAAGCCGGCCTGAGTCCTTCCTTGGAGGTTGAGAAGACCGGGGTATAAAAACTTTATATAAATAATAATAAATTAATGGGACTAAGTTTAGGGAATTGGTCTGGCTTCCCTGTTGCTTTACTCATGGCCCTCTTACCCTTTTCAGGCAGCACCAACGTTGGGGAACAGCTTCCCACAGGGCAACTCTCTGTGGTTCCGTGGCGCCGGACTGGGGTGAAGTACACCAACAACGAGGCCTATTTCGATGTGATTGAGGAGATAGATGCCATCATTGAGAAATCAGGTACAAAGTGGTGAGCCCTCAGAGCACCTCCTTCAGGTGACAAGGCTTCTAGATAAATGGAATAGAAGCCTTAGCCTTTTAGCTCTCTTCCTATCAAATATGGCCATCTTTCCCTGTATGTGCCTTCCTTAGTAGCATACCCTCTCACTGTCATAATTTGACATGGAACATCCCGATTGCCCCTTTGCTGTGCCACTTTCTTAGCTTTCTTTAAAATGTCCCTTTTTTATTCCTCCCACTTTTGCATTTAAGTACTGTATATACTTGAGTATAAGCCTAGTTTTTCAGCCCTTTTTTAGGCTGAAAAAGTCCCATTCAGCTTATACTCGAGTCAAGATTATTTATTATTTAATTCTATTATTATTATTATTATTATTATTATTATTATACTCTATTATTATTACATTATTTTACTTTATTATTGTTATCATTACATTTATTATTTTACTCTATTATTACTGTTATTATTACATTTCTATTACTTTATTATTATTATTATTATTATTATATATTTATTATTTTACTTTTTTATTACTGAAAGGATGTGCAAACATATTTACACTGAAAAAGGTCGGTATCATGGTTTAATCAGAGATGGACAGTCTTATCTTAAATTACACTTTTATGTAAATATTCAAAAACATTTAACCCACTGATGCCTCAATTAATGTCATAGTATTGGAATCTATTTTTATTTTGGAATTTACCAGTAGCTGCTGCATTTCCCACCTTTGGCTTATACTTGAGTCAATATGTTTTCCCAGTTTTTTGTGATAAAATTAGGTGCCTCGGCTTATATTCGGGTCGGCTTATACTCGGGTATATACGGTAATTCACTAGCAGGAGTAAGAGAAGAAGGGAAAGAAACCTTTTCTTCCTAAAACCTGTCTATAAATTCTGGGGTTTTCCCTGCTTAAAATTGTCATTTTGTGTGTTCTTCCTTGTTAACAACTTCAACCTCTTGTGGTCTCCAAGACTGGGAACCACCTCTGTACTTAACACACACTCCAGTCCAAGGTAAAATAGCAAACCAGTTTATTGAAGAATATATATTGAAAGCAATTCAGCGTAAAATAGTATAAAAAAATGAAGTCTAAATATTAGGAATAATAGCAGGGCTCAGGTTGCATTACAGCAGGTGATCAGTGGTTTGCTCATCTCCACACTTGCGTGTCGTGCATTCCACTTTGTAGCCCCATTTCTTAAGATTGGCTCTGCATCTCGTGATGCCAGAGCGCAGTATGTTCAGCGCCTTCCAAGTCGCCCAGTCTTCTGTGTGCCCAGGGGGGAGCTTCTTATTTGGTATCAGCCATTCATTGAGGTTCTGGGTTTGAGCCTGCCACTTTTGGACTCTTGCTTGCTGGGGTGTTCCAGCAAGTGTCTCTGTAGATCTTAGAAAACTATTTCTTGATTTAAGTCATTGACGTGCTGAGTGATACCCAAACAAGGGATGAGCTGGGGATGTCACTGCCTTGGTCCTTTCACTATTGGCTGCTACTTCCTGGTGGTTGTCAGGTGGTGCAATACTGGCTAAACAGTGTAACTTCTCCAGTGGTGTAGGGCACAGACACCCCATGATAATGTGGCATGTCTCATTAAGAGTCACATCTACTGTTTTAGTATGGTGAGATGTGTTCCACACTGGGCATGCGTACTCAGCAGCAGACTAGCATAGCACAAGGGCAAATGTCTTCACTGTGTCTGATCTCCAGGTTGTGCCTGGGAAATCCCTTGATTTGACAGAAGTTTTGTACCCAAACACCAATGTTGCCTAGACTGGCAAAAAAGGCTGCTGGTCTTGCTAATACATACAGAAAATCATGATTTCTCCCCTGGGAAACTGATAAGGGCTTTTTGGCTAATAGGAGTCTTGATCTTTGTAAACACTCCTGAGAAGCTCTGCATTGACAGAACGTAAATCTCCTATCAACTGCGCATTAGTCTGTCCACCTGGACTTCCATTTTCATCCTGAGCTCAGTCCTGCTTCTGACCTTGCTTCCCTAGTGAACTGCCTTTCTGGAATGTGGCCTTCAGACAGAGACCACTCAGTTTCAGGTCTTAAAATCTCTTGCTGGCTCTCCTGCTGCTCCTGCTACTTGGAGGCCCAGAATCTCCAGTGTGATCAGGTGCAGACACAATCAAAGGCTGGACTACAATATGTGGCTTGGCCACACTTTTTGACCACATTCATGCACATTTTAGCCACACATAGCCTGGTTTTCATCTGTGACGTATTGAGTGGAATGTCGCAGTCACCTTCTTGTTTCTCTTTGTTATTTTATTTAGTCAGTCAGTGGAAATGTTTGAATAATATTCTCCAAATATCACTCCCAAAGCTGTTTTAAAAACGACAACCACTGATTTAATTGTTGACCGGCACGTTTTTGTCTAATTTTGTGTAACCCACATGGCTTTTGTTTGCTGTGTTTCAGGTTCTACAATTACCGCTGAAATACAAGGGGTCATTGATGCCTGTGTGAAACTGACAGGGATGCCAGACCTCACCCTCTCTTTCATGGTAAAGTTAGAAGAGAAAACCTGGGGAAATTCCCTTTTTGGATTACAGATCTCAGAAAAGACAGTTGTGCTTTCAAATGTAATCTCTCCAACTGTGGAGAGGACTGTTGGGGTGTTGTTTGTTTGTTTGTAAGCTTTGACATTTTCTGTACTAGTAAATAGCATTCTAAAAGTGTCATATATCATATGATAGAACAATGAAAATATTATGAAATTAATATACCGTATGTACTCGAGTATAAGCCGACCCAAATATAAGCTGAGGCACCTAATTTTACCACAAAAACTGGGAAAACATATTAACTCGAGTATAAGCCGAGGGTGGAAAATGCAGCAGCTACTGGTCAATTTCAAAAGAAAAATAGATACCAAGGCAATTACATTAATTGAGGCATCAGTAAGTTAAATATTTTTGAATATTTACATAAAACTGTAATTTAAGACTGTCCAACTCTGATTAAACCATTATTCTAACCTTCAATGTAAATGTGTTTACATATCCTTCCAGTAATAAATAGAGAAAAATAATAAATTAATAATAAAAATAATAGAGTAAAATAATGGAAATGTAATAATAACAGTAATAACAGAGTAAAATAGTAAGTGTAATAATAATACATATAGTAAAATAATCTATATAAATAAAAATGTAATGTTCGTTTGTGGTATTAACATAACTCAAAAACCACTGGACGAATTGCCACCAAATTTGGCCACAAGACACCTACTAACCCAAGGAGTGACCATCACTCAAAAAATTGATTTTGTCATTTGGGAGTTGTAGTTGATGGGATGTATAGTTCACCTACAATCAAAGAGCATTTTGAACTCCGCCAATGATAGAATTGAACCAAACGTGGCACACAGGACTCCCATGACTAACAGAAAACACTAGAAGGGTTTTGACCTTGAGTTTGGGAGTTGTAGTTCACCTACATCCAGAGAGTGCTATGGATTCAAACAAGGATGGATCTGGACCAAAGTTGGCAGGAATACTCAATATGCCCAAATATAAACACAGATAGAATTTAGGGGAAATAAACCTTGACATTTGGGAATTCTAGTTACTGGGATTTATAGTTCACCTACGAACAGAGAGCATTCAGAACCCCATGAACTGTTTACCCACAAGCATAGAGAAATTACATAGATTGGAAACCAACACTTTCTCATTACTTTATTTTCTAGATCACCAGACTGGGCCACAGCAACGCGTGGCAGGAGACGGCTAGTAAATGTAATAAAATAAATAATAGAGTAATAAATGGAATTGTAATAATAACCGTAATAAAAGAGAAAAATAAATGTAATAATAGAGTAAAATAAATGTAATAATAGAGTAAAATAATAAATGTAATAAAATAATAACAGAATAATGTAAATGTAATAAAAATAATAAAATAAGAAATAACATTGACTCGAGTATAAGCTGTGGGGGGCTTTTTTCAAGTATATACGGTAATTTGCAGATGGTAGAAATAGAGCAGTGACATTCAAGATTCATCTGCAATATGCTGGATTCAGTGAGTCCGTTTTTAAAGTTTGTCTGGTAGAAACCTGCCCATAAAGTCAGCACTGGGCTAGCTTGCTCTTACTTAGGCGATCCCTCGTTGGCCGAGTAGGATAGTCTTCCAGGATCGGAATTCTTGTGAGTCTGTAGGTAGCTGTGGAGCCCTATTTTTGATCTGCATCTTCTTCCGCAGTGAGGACATTGGTTTCCAGGTGGAAGGCGGTCTCAGTTGGGGTTGGCTTGACGCGCCTTCCACTTGGCATGTTTCTCTCTTTCACCCTCCATTCGTGCCTCTTCAAATTCAACAGCACTGCTGGTCACAGCTGACCACTCGAGGGCTAGGGCTCCCCAGTTCTCAGTGTCTATGCCAGAGTTTTTAAGGTTGGCTTTGAGCCCATCTTTAATCTTTTTTCCTGCCCACCAACATTCCATTTCTTGAGTTCAGAGTAGAACAACTGCTTTGGGAGGTGGTGGTCAGGCATCCGGACAACGTGGCCGGTCAAGCGGAGTTGATGGTGGAGGACCATCGCTTCAATGATGGTGGTCTTTGCTTTTTCCAGCACGCTGACATTTGTCCGCCTGTCTTCCAAGAGATTTGCAGGATTTTCCGGAGGCAGCGCTGATGGAATCGTTCCAGGAGTTGCATGTGACGTCTGTAGACAGTCCACGTTTTGCAGGCATATAGCAGGGTTGGGAGGACAATAGCTTTATAAACAAACACCTTGGTCTCCCTATGGATGTCCCGGTCCTCAAACACTCTCTGCTTCATTCTGCTAGCTTGCTCACAGTGTGTGGATGGAGGTGGCCTATACTCAGTGCCAGAAGATGTACTCTACCAAGAGACTCTCCTTTACATCTTTGTCTCATTTGTTCCAGAACCCCAGGCTGCTGGATGACGTCAGCTTCCACCCCTGCGTGCGATTCAAGCGCTGGGAATCTGAACGTATCCTCTCTTTCATCCCTCCAGACGGGAACTTCCGCTTGCTCTCTTACCATGTCAGTGCTCAGAAGTAAGGCTCAGGGCTGAGATCTGGGATATGTTCTCTTAACCTTTAAAACTAGGAATGTGTCACTATGATATTCTGCTTCTGCTCCTTGTTGTTGTTGTAGTTGTGTACCTCCAAGTAGTTTCTGACCTATGTCAACCCTATCATGGGGCTTTCTTGTCAAAATGTATTCAGAAGAGGTTTGCCATGTCCTTCATGTGAGGCCGAGATATTTTAACTTACTATCAGAAGGAGAACGAGAGCAGAAAGAGAGAAGAGACATAAAAAGATACATTCTCACCTGTCATACAGGAGACATGGAGGAAGGGAACCCCTCAGACTATTCTAATTTTTTGTGTGTGTCAGGAGTGACTTGAGAAACTGCAAGTTGCTTCTGGTGTGACAGAATTGGCCGTCTGCAATGACGTTGCCCAGGGGACACCTGGATGTTTTGATGTTTCTACCATGCTTGTGGGAGGCTTCTCTCATGCCCTTCCATGGGGAGCTGGAGCTGACAGAGGGAGCTCATTTGCATGCTCCCTGGATTCGAACCTCCAACCTGTCGGTGTTCAGTCCTGCTGGCACAATGCTTCAGCCCATTGCGCCACTGGGGGCTAACTAACTTATCCTCATTGAGGACTTGAGACTTGGACAGTGTGGAGTTGAACTCCAATATCTACAGGGAAAGGCAAGATTCAACCCTCCCCTCTGTCTCCTGCACTTTGAACTCAGTTTTCAGCAATTGAAGTAATCTGAAGACAAAAGGAAGAGGAAAGAAAATCTGGGACAATTTAAGAGTATCTGAAAAACTGAGTCGAGGGAGGATTAATTAGGTCTGTTGGAAGCTATGGTATGGCTAGGCTGGCTGGTAGGCTTGGACAATCCATGGTTCTAAATGGTTCTAAAGTACTTACAAAACTAAAGTTCTGGTGGTGAAAATTTCAGAACTCTAACAAAACTCACAAAATTTCATAATAAATGGCAGTTCCTAATTGGTTCTGTCATTAAAATCACCAATAATGAAATAATAATTAAATTTTGAAAGTTTTGTTAGAGTTCTGAAATTTTCACCACCAGAATTTTAGTTTTGTAAGTACTTTAGAACCATTTAGAACCATGGATGGCCCAAGCCTACTGGCTGGTGATGATGGGAGTCGTATTTCCACACCAGATGTGATGTAGTGCAACTCCCATCACCTTCAGCCAGCAACGCCTGTGGAAGAGCCCTAGGTTGAGGAAGCTGCATTACTAGATTGGGTCGGCTTTGTATATCCACATTATCTGTGACCAACAGAACCAGAAGAGATCAGGCTGTGCTTTGCTGCTTCTGCAATAATGTTTCCCTCCCAGCCTGGTGGCCATCCCAGTCTACGTGAAGCACAATATCAGTTTTCGAGACAGCAGCTCGCTGGGCCGCTTCGAGATCACAGTGGGACCCAAGCAGACGATGGGGAAGACCGTTGAGGGGGTGATGGTCACCAGCCAGATGCCCAAAGGTGTCCTGAACATGACTCTCACGCCTTCCCAGGGGACGCACACCTTTGATCCCGTCACAAAGGTGAGAGGGAAGTGGGGAGGTGGCAGCACAAATAGAGTTTGGCTTTTTGATTGCCGGTTTCCCATTGCACTGTAGAGTATACTGTTTCCCTGGCTTTTCACATCTTCTTGTCCAGCTGGTACTAGCTCTGCAATGCATTCTCTGTACCTCCTTGCAGTGCAGTCGCTGCAGTGTAGTGCAGACTTCACAGCATCAAGTAGTAAAGATTTCTGGGTGGCTGTGAGTTTTCCGGGCTGTATGGCCATGTTCTAGAAGCATTCTCTTCTGACATTTTGCCCCACAATTTCAACTGAAAGGAGAAAACGCCCTCTACATTGGCCTTCCTCTGTCGGTGATCCGGAAGCTCAAGTTAGTACAAAATGCAGCTGCTCGGCTTCTTGCGGGAATTCCGATGAGATGTCACATAACACCAATCTTACTACAGCTGCATTGGTTACCAATTGAGCACCGGATCACTTTCAAAGTGATGGTACTCACCTTTAAGGCCTTGCATGGTCTGGGGCCGATGTACCTGAGGGACCGCCTCACCCCCTACCAACCCCAGAGATCCCTCCGTTCTGAGGACCAAGATCTATTGGAAATTCCCAGTGTCAAGACCTTGCATCTAACAGCAACCAGATGCAGAGCCTTTACAGCAGTGGCACCATCACTCTGGAATACTCTGCCACCTGAAGTCCGTGCCTTGCGGGACCTATCAGCTTTCCGCAGGGCATGTAAGACATATCTGTTTCGACAGGCCTTTGATCTCTGACATTGTTGTTTTAAATTGTTTTTAAATTGTTTTAAATTGTTTTTAAAGTGTGTTAGATTTTAGCCTGTTCTTGTAAGCCGTTCCGAGCCCTAGGGGAGTGGCGGCATATAAGTTTGAATTATAAATATAAATAAATAAATAAAATGAACAAAATCTGGCTACCAGTATTTAAAAAAACCCTCTAAAACAGTGGTTCTCAACCTGTGGGTCCCCAGATGTTTTGGCCTTCAACTCCCAGAAATCCTAACAGTTGGTAAACTGGCTAGGATTTTTGGGAGTTGTAGGCCAAAACACCTGGGGACCCACAGGTTGAGAACCAGTGCTCTAAACTCAGGACAGTAAATAAAGAACACTCTGAAAACAGGGGAGTTCCAGACAGGAAACAATAAGGGCTAGCTAACACCTCCCAACAAAGGATTCCCCCAGGCAGGAAGCAGCCGGGTTTTGAAGCTGCAACATTCACACTCCCCTGAAACAGACCACAGTTCTTTCTCCCACTCTGGACATTATTCCACAGGTATATAAACCTCACTTGCTTAGTTTCCAATATACCTCACAATCTCTGAGGATGCCTGCCACAGATGTGGGTGAAACATCAGGAGAGAATGCTTCTGGAACATGGCCTGACAGCCTGGAAAACTCACAGCAACCCAGTGATTCCAGCCATGAAAGCCTTCAACAACACAGTATGATTTCCTCTTGGTTGTTGCACAGCATCTAGATTGTCCTGGCTTGTGCTATTGCCTTCTCCCGCTTGCGATCTCTTTCTCCATCTTTCTCTCTTTGAAGATGCTGACGTGGGATGTGGGGAAGATCAACCCACAAAAGCTGCCCAGCTTAAAGGGGACGATGAGCCTTCAGGCAGGAGCCTCCAAGCCCGATGAGAACCCCACCATCAACCTACAGTTCAAGATCCAGCAGCTGGCTATTTCTGGTTGGTGGGAGCATTTTGTTTCTTATGCGTTTAAAATGTTCTCCATCGTGGTCAATTGAATCGCACATATGGTATTTTCTGTGCCTGAGCAGGCAGCTTCGGAATCTTCTAGACAAATTATTAAACATTTTTGGTGGTTGCCCCGCCCACTCTCCCCTTGAGAGTATATAGAGCCACTGGGAGGGGCTACTACCTCCAGTTCTTTTCATCTGCCGCTCCTGCAGCAGCTGTCGAATCTTCGCTTTTCTGACTAGTTTTTTTCTCTGGTAATTGACCTCGGACTGCCATATTGTTTGCTGACAATTTTCCCTCCTGACTTTGGACTGTTATACCAACTAGTGAATATCACTGTTCCCATCCAGGACCATCTAGTACTGCCTAAGTATTGCCTTTGGTTCTATAGGCACAATGTTGGCCACTACTTCATTTAAACATTGTACCTATTGCCCAAACAACTTTCCCGATAATGATGGCCACTCTGTGTCTCCTATGTTTGGGAGAGGAACATTTGTCCTAAACTTGTGATGTGTGTTTAGCATTTATGCCTGGCTGCCAGATTGCTACCAGGCACAATTCAAAGTGCTGGCTTTAGCCTTTAAAGCCCTAAACAGTTTTAGCTCAGTTTACCTGTTCAAATGCATCGCTCCCTATGAACCATCTACATGCTTAAAATAGTCTGGGGAGGCCCTGCTCTAGGTCCCGCCTTCTTTGCAGATCCGATTGGTGGGAACGCGAGACAGGGCCTTCTCAGTGGTAGCCCCCCAACTGTGGAACGCCCTCCCTAGGGATATTAGATCGGCCCCCTCCCTCCTAACATTTTGAAAGAGAGTTAGAACCTGGCTGTTTGAGCAGGTATTTGCAAACGCAGTATAACTGATGAATTGAGACTCATGGAACGTTTGAACGATGCAATGGAAAATGAGTTTAATGATAAAACACTGAGGACTTTATGGTTTTAACTGTTTTATTGTTTTTATATGGTTTATATTATTGAGGCAGTATACAAATATAGTAAATAAATAAATACTAGAGAAGGCTTGAAGAAGGTTGTCATTTCCAACACCTTCTACAGAACTGAGCCACTCCTAAGAAAACTCTTCTAGTCATTTGCCCAAGACACGATGGATGGGGTGCCTGTTGGTTGAGAACATCTAAAAATGAGAGTTGTGAGGCTTGAGGGCAGGAAACTAGATGCGTAGAATACTTTGCTCCATCTCAGAGCCAGCTGATCCAGAATGCTGTTGATCTGGATGAAGCCCATCTGCATAGATTGGGCTGTGCCATCTCTGGTTCTGAAGTTCCCAGTGTTTCAGGGCCTGCTTCCTGGTGGCTCTGTTTGGTGTCTCCTCCCCACAGCTTCTCTCCTTGTGTCTTCTGTCCTCGTAGGTTTGAAAGTGAACCGTCTGGACATGTACGGAGAGAAGTACAAACCTTTCAAGGGCATCAAGTACATGACCAAGGCTGGGAAGTTCCAGGTCCGGACCTAAGAGTGCCCCTGGCCAAGTGAAGAAGACGTGAGTGTGCCCTCGCTACCTGATCCGTCTCTGATCCTGCTGTCAGTCTCCTGAATCTGGACAGGGCAGAGTCTTTTTTGCACTGGGTGAGCCAAGCGCCGCCTCCACCTTTTGTTAAATTTCGGACAAGATGGAAGAGTCCTCAAGAGAGGACAGTGAGAGGCTTGTCTATCGGTTCTTCAGCGACCACAAATCCTGCCCTCTTTCTTCTTCTGGTTGCCATTTCCTTGTGTCTTAGCCAACTAGAGTTTCTATGAACACATGTTCGGAGATGTTCGGGATCCAAGGCTGCTGGTATACAGAGTCCTCAACAATTTCCAAACACAAATTCTAAAAAGCTAGCTGAAGAAGGCTTTGACTTGGCATCTTTATTAATTCAGTAATATTTATGGGTCTGGTAAGAGGCTGAAAGAAAGCAAAAGTTTGCTTAGAGGACTGAAGGTAGTTCAAAAGAGGCTCCTCAGCCCATTCACTCATTTCAAACCTTGTCTAGGTCAAACAGGTTTTGCAAGGTTGAGGACCATGTTTTGACAACTGCCCGGCCTGCCTGTTTACCCAAAAAGGTCTGAGCATGTGTGCCTCTGGCAACATCAGCCTCTATCATGCCATCTTCGACTCTCTGAAAAGCCCAATGTTTTTTTCAGCAGGGAGGGGTGGTGCGAAGACTGCTTACTGATTTCTATTTCATGATTGTCACAGGAGATATCTGGCTAAAGGAAGGGAGGGGTAAAATCTTGGGACTTAAAAGTTTGTAATTGCGGCTGCTTCTCCACAGCTCCTCCTCACACATACAATGGGCCTCCTTCCTTGCATGTGTTGATTCAGTATAAACAGAATGTTGCTCTATATCAGGTATGGACAAACCCAGGCCCAGGGGCCAGATGCAACCCCTTTGGCTCTTTTCTCAGCCCCCCCCCCCTCTCTTACACCATCCTACTCTTCCTTCCTTCTCTCTTTCCTTCCTCCTTCCCTCCCTCTTTCTCCTTCCTTCCCCTTCATCCTTCCCTTCTCTCCCTCTTTTATTTCCTTCTTTCCCTTTCTTTCCTTCCCTTCCTTCTCCTTCCCTCTTTCTCCTTCCCTCTTTCTTCTTCCTTCCCATCCCTTCTTCTTCCTTCCCTCTCTCCCTTTCTTCTTCCTTTCCTTCCTCCTTCCTTTTCTTTCCTTCTACTCTTTTTCTCCCCTCTTTCTCCCTTTTCCTCTCTTTCCTTCCTTCCTTTTTGTCTTTCCTCCCTTCCTCCCTCTCCCTCCCTCTTCCATTCTCTCCTTCCCTTTCTTCCTTCCTTCCTTCGCCCTCCCTCTCTCCCTCTTCCCTTTTCTTTTCCCTTCCCTTCTCCTTCCTTCCTTTCCTTTTTCCTTCCTTCCTTCCTTCCTTCCTTCTTCCTTCCCTCCCTTCCTTCCTTCCTCCTTCTCTCTTTCCTCCCTCCCTCCTTCCTCCCTCTTTCTCTTCCTTCCATCCCTTTCCTCTCCTTCCCTTCCTTTCCTTCCTTCCTCTTCCTCTCTCTCCTCTTTTTCCCTCCTTCCTTCCTTTTCATTTTTTTTTCTTCTGTCTTCCTTCCTTCCTTCCTTCCTTCCTTCCTTCCTTCCTTCCTTCCTTCCTCCCTCCCTCCCTCCCTCCCTCCCTCCCTCCCTCCCTCCCTCCCTCCCCTTTTGTCTTTCCTTCCTTCCCTCTTTCCTCCCTCCTTCCCTCTCTCCCTCTTTCTCCTTCCATCCTTCCATTCCTCCCTTTCTCCTTCCTTCCTTCTCTCTTTCCTTCCTGCTTCCCTTCCTTGCTTCCTTCCTTCTGTCACTGGGCCTCCTAGCAGGGAATGCTAGCTTGCGACCCCCAAGTTACAAAGTTTGCCCATGCCTGCTCTATACACACATGTCTTTGTATGCATTTTGATCTGAGCTAGCACCAATTTTACACATAGAATCATAGAGTTGGAAGAGACTTCGTGGGCCATCCAGTCCAACCCCCTGCCAAGAAGCAGGAATATTCAAAGCACCCCTGACAGATGGCCATCCAGCCTCTGTTTAAAAGCTTCCAAAGAAGGAGCTTCCACCACTCTCCAGGGCAGAAAGTTCCACTGCTGAACAGCTCTCACAGTCAGGAAGTCCTTCCTAATGTTCAGATGGAATCTCCTTTCTTGTAGTTTGAAGCCATTGTTCTGCATCCTAGTCTCCAGGGCAGCAGAAAACAAGCTTGCTCCCTCCTCCCTATGACTTCCTCTCACATATTTATACATGGCTATCATGTCTCCTCTCAGCCTTCTCTTCTTCAGGCTAAACTTGCCCAGCTCTTTAAGCTGCTCCTCATAGGGCTTGTTCTCCAGACCCTGATCATTTTAGTTGCCCTCCTCTGGACACATTCCAGCTTGTCAATATCATCTTCCTTCAATTGTGGTGCCCAAAATTGGACACAATATTCCAGGTGTGGTCTAACCAAGGCAGAATAGAGGGGTAGCATGACTTTCCTGGATCTAGACACTATGCTCCTATTGATGCAGGCCAAAATCCCATTGGCTTTTTTTGCTGCAGCATCACATTGTTGACAATGTTGGCTTTTTCACATGTACTGCTCTCAAGCCAGGCATTGTCCCCCATTCTGTATCTTGCATTTGTCCCTGTTGAACTTCATTTTGTTAGTTTGGGCCCATCTCTCTAATCTGTCAAGATTGTTTTGAATCCTGCTCCTGTCTTCTGGAGTATTGGCTCTCCCTCCCAATTTGGTGTCGTTTGCAAACTTGATGAGCATGCCTTCTAACCCTTCATCTAAGTTATTAATAAAGATGTTGAACAGGACCGGGCCCAGGACCCTGCTGATGGCACTTTGCTCGTCACTTCTTTCCAGGATGAAGAGGAAGCATTGGAGAGAATCATCCTCTCGGTTTGTCTGCTTAACCAATTACAGATCCACCTAACCGTAGTTTTGAGTCACTGTGCTGTCACACGCTAGGCCTGAAGCAATTGTCTATTAACAAGATGTGGCTTCTATATGCCCAGCAGGACGCCGGGGGTGCCTTGGCTGAGAGGCCCTATGGATTTCCCTATACAAAGTCTTTAGAAGCTTAGAAAGTTTAACAAGGTTCTTTATTAATGCTTAAATCTTCAACAAATCAATCAAATACTTTAAAACTCTGGAAAACTGGTAGCTTTCTTAATCTGCCCACAAGGGACAGGAAACTTGCTTCAAGAACTGTTTCTTTCTTCTATAAAGGAAATCCTTGACCCTTCCCTGGGCAATCTGTTCTTAGGCTAGCATGGGGCCCTACTCCCGGTTCCAATTTGCTTTATAGGTAACCCGAGTACACCTTACTGGCCAAGACTTTGTAGATTTTCCAGCTGGTGTCCTTTACCTTCCAGCAAAGCTGGCTGTATTTCTTAGTAAAGCTGTGGAACTGCTTTCCCCCGAAGTTTGTGTGAAACGAAGCTTTCTACAGGTGGGAGAAGCTCTCACGTCCTGTAACTGAGCTTCTAAACTGTAAGACAGAATTAAAAACTTTCTTTTCCCTCCCAGAACCCTGGGGAAAGGGGTGGAACTAAAGAACATAATGATAATTGATGGGTCATTGGCCCTATTATTGCGCACCAAAGGAAGCCACCTTATTGCAAAATGCATGGAACTTTGGAATACATGCAGACACTCAATAGAAAGGAAAAGAAGTTGGAACTCCTGGTACAGCCGTACCAGCACAGTCACTGTTTTGTTTTGGTTCAGGATTTTTCTCCCCACTAAACATGCTAGATCCAACATGATATCTTTGGCGTAGGGACCTTGGTCTTTGGAATACCAAAGACCAAGAGATGGAGCATAGAGAGTGTGGGCCCCTTTAACAGAGTCTGGAAAAGCTCCATTTATGAATTCTGACTTAAAGAATCCTGCACCAATATGACCATTTATGTACTGTATTTAGATACTCCATAGAATTGTAGATTATTTATTTATTTATTTATTTAGTCACGGGGCCATGCTGGTTGGCGGGTGTTGGAAACTGGAGAAACATGAATATATGTTTGCAGACTTTGGACATTGTGGACCACAGGCCACATTTTTCTCTACTTAGGAGGTGATCTTGGAATTACAGCAACTTGGTTCAGGATCCCAAGCTACCGTCTATAGCTAAGTACAATTAGATTCATGTAATTACCACAGGAGGCCTTGAAATGGTTGGGATGCATTGAAACAGACCTTGGTTCTCGTGCAAATCTGTTCTTCTGCTCTGGTGGAGGGAGATGTACCTACAGTTTCTGCGCAGTAGGTGGAGTTGCAGCCTCAAGAAAGGTGTCATCTTTGGGTTGTTATGAGTTTTCTGGGTTGTATGGCCATGTTCCAGACGCATTCTCTCCTGACATTTCACCTGCATCTATGGCAGGCATCCTCAGAAACTGTGAGGTCTGTTGAAAACTAGGAAAATTGGGTTTATATATCTGTGGAAAGTCCAGGGTTGGACTTTGAGGCAGGTGTGAACGTTGCAATTGGCCATCTTGATTAGTATTTAATGGCCTAACAGTTTCAAGGTATGGCTTCTTACTCCCCAGGGGAATCCTTTGTAGGGATGTGATTAGCTGGCCCTGATTGTTTCTTATCTAGAATTCCCATTTTTTTAGTGTTGTTCTTTGTTTACTGTTATGATTTTAGAGTTTTTAAATACTGGTAGGTAACATCTTTTTCTCCTGGTTAAGGTGCTCCCAAGCTTGTTGTTTATTCGTTGAATTGCTTCCAACTCTTCGTGACCTCATAGACCAGCCCAGGCCAGAGCTCCCTCTCGGCTGTGGCCACCCCCAGTTATTTCAAGGTCATGCCAGTCACTTCAAGGATAACATCCATCTTGCCCTTGATCAGTTCCTCTTCCTTTTCCCCTCCATTTTCCCCAGCATCATTCTCTTCTCCAAGCTTTCCTGTCTTGTTATGTGGCCAAAGTATTTCGTCTTTGTGTGCCCTCTACTGAGCAGCCGGGCATTATTCCCTGGAGGATGGACTGGTTTGATCTTGTGATCCAAGGCACTCTCAGAATTTTCCTCCAGCTTACTTACTTACTTAGACGATCCCTTGTTGGCCGAATAGGATAGTCTTCCAAGATCAGTATTCTGGTGGGTCCGTAGGTGGCTGTGGAGCCCTATTCTTGATCTGCATCTTCTTCCGCAGTGAGGGCATTGGTTTCCAGGTGGAAAGCGGTCTCGGTCTGGGTTGGCTTGACGCGCCTTCCTCTTGGCACATTTCTCTCTTTTGCCCTCCATTCGTGCCTCTTCAAATTCTGCACCACTGCTGGTCACAGCTGACCTCCAACTGGGGCACTCAAGGGTCAGGGCTTCCCAGTTTTCAGTGTCTATGCCAGAGTTTTTAAGGTTGGCTTTGAGCCCATCTTTAAATCTCTTTTCCTGTCCACCGACATTCCATTACCCGTTCCTGAGTTCGGAGTAAAGCAACTGCTTTGGCAGACGGTGATCAGGCATCCGGACAACGTGGCCAGTCCAGCGGAGCTTATGGCGGAGGACCATCGCTTCAATGCTGGTGGTCTTTGCTTCTTCCAGCACGCTCATGTTTGTCTGCTTGTCTTCCCAAGAGATTTGCAGGATTTTCCAGAGGCAGCGCTGATGGAATCGTCCCAGGAGTTGCATATGACGTCTGTAGACTGTCCACGTCTCACAGCTGTATAGCAGGGTTGGGAGGACAATAGCTTTATAAACAAGCACCTTGATATCCCTATGGATGTCCTGGTCCTCAAACACTCTTTGCTTCATTCAGAAAAATGCTGCACTCGCAGAGCTCAGGCAGTGTTGTATTTCAGTATCGATGTTGGCTTTGGTGGAGAGGTGGCTGCCAAGGTAGCGGAAATGGTCAACATTTTCTAATGTTACACCATTAAGCTGTATCTCTGGCATTGGAAAGGGATTGGCTGGTGACTGCTGGAACAGCACTTTGGTTTTCTCGATGTTCAATGACAGGCCGAGCTTCTCATATGTTTCTGCGAAGGTGTTTAGTGTGGCTTGTAGATCTTCTTCTGAATGTGCACAGACAATGTTGTCATCAGCATACTGGAGTTCTATAACAGATGTTGTTGTAACCTTAGTTTTGGCTTTCAGTCTGCTGAGGTTAAACAGCTTGCCATCTGTCCGATAGATCATTACCACTCCGGTGGGAATCTTCCCATCAACAAGATGAAGTATTATAGCGATGAAGATGGAAAATAAAGTTGGGGCAATAACACACCCCTGTTTCCTCCAGCACCAATTTCAAAAGTGTCTCTTCCTTCGCTCTGCCTTCCTTATGGTCCACCTCTCGCATGCATAGGTTACTACGGGGAATGCCACTACTTTAACTATGCAGACCTTCTTTGCCAGTGTGAGGTCTCTACTCTTCACTATTTAATCGAGATTGGTTATTGCTCTCTTTCCAAGAAGTAAACGTGTCCTGATTTCCTGGCTGCAGTCTGCGTCTGTAGTCATCTACGCACTACGCACTTAGAAATACAAAGTCTGTCACTTCCTCCATGTTTTCTCCCTCTATTTGTCAGTTATCAATCAATCCGGTTACCATAATCTTGGTTCTTTTGATGTTTAACTGCAACCCAGCTTTTGCCCTTTCTTCTTTCGCCTTGGTTAGAAGGCTCCTCAGCTCCTCCTTGCTTCTGGCTGTCAAAGTGGTATCATCTGCATATCTAAGGTTGTTAATGTTTCTTCCAGCAATTTTTTACCCCAGCTTTGCATTCCTCAAGCTCCGCACATCGCATGATGTGTTCTGCATACAAGTTGAATAGGTTGGGTGAGAGGATACAACCTTGCCTTTCCCAATCTTGAACCAATCTGTTGTTCCATGGTCAGTTCTGACTGTTGCTACTTGGTCCTTATACAGATTTCTCAGGAGAGAGACAAGGTGATTTGGTATCCCCATATCACCAAGAACTTGCCACAATTTATTATGATCCACAGTCAAAGGCTTTAGAATAGTCAATAAAACAGAAATAGATGTTTTTCTGAAACTCCCTGCCATCAAAGTGGTGTCATCTGCATATCTCAGGTTGTTAATATTTCTTACTTCAGACACAAACTACAGCCAGGAAATCAGAAGATGTTTCATTCTTGGGAGGAGAGCAATGATCAATCTCAATAAAATAGTTTAGAGTAGAGACATCACACTGATACTTATCTCAGAAACAGCCCTCCCCTTGGTTGAGAGGCCAGCCAATCACAGTGGAGGGCTTTTGGTGGGAGGATTTGCCATCTGTTTCCAAAAAGGAAGAGGTCAGGCGGAGAGATCTTTAGCCTTCTCTGCCAAAGGGTTTCCTAAGAGCACCTGAAATAAGTTTTCTGATAATCTTTGATGACCCCTCTGAAACCCCCCTTGTGACCCCCAGATTGAAGAACACTGCTCTAGCAGCTTGTTCTGTCTCTAAATGCTTCCATCAGTCTCTTTTGCATGGGGAACGTGTGGGCTATTACCTCCTTAGATCTCAAAATCCAGACACAGCTTGTTTTCTTCCTGTTTCTCTCCATTTTCCATCTCTACTCCCTTTGGACAGATGCCTGTTTCAGCCCCATTTGATGAAGGCCTCGGATGTTCGGGAGGCTGTGTGGACGTCTCATGGCTTCCCTACTCTACAAGGCCTTCATCTGGAGTGTCTGTCTCTTTACCGGCACTTAAAAAAGTATATTGATCCTCCCCGTTCTTGCTATGTTAGCCACTTGTGGTACACGGAGAGTGTGAACAGAGTTGTTTGTGGCACGCTGAGATTGTGAAAAATGCAAATAAAACTACTTATTTATAAAATGTTTCTCTGCCTGTTTTCATTCTCATATAAAGGTAAAAGGTTTCCCCTAGTTGGTACTCCTCTACATTTATAAGCCAAAGAGCCGGTGTTTTCCATAGACACCTCCAAGTTCATGTGGCCGGCATGACTCCATGGAGCATCCTTACCTTCCCGTCGGAGCAGTACCTACTGATCTCACATTTGCATGTTTTCGAATTTTTAAGTTGGCAGAAACTGGGCCCAACAGCAGGAGCTCACCCCGCTCCCCGGATTCGAACCACCAACCGTTTGGTCAGCAAGTTTAGCAGCTCAGCAGTTTAATCCACTGTGCCACCATGGGGACCTCATTCTCATATATTTCATTAAAATGTCCACATTCCACCCTGCAAGGTGATCAAAATAATATTGGCATCTGATGCTCTGTAAGCCAGGACTGGGAGACAGAAGACATTAGTCAAGGTTACTTTGCAGAATAGCTGATCTATACTTAACTTAAGCAGTCGATCCAGAATCTTGTTCATCCTCTTCAGTTTCAGTGAACATATAGGCACAATACGTTTCCACAGCCTCTTGTGGTTTCTTTGTGATTTAGCAATTCTATGCAAAGGTACAGGTTTCCCCTGGTTAAGTCTATTGGTGTTCGACTCTGGGGTGTGGTGCTTATCTCCATTTCTAAGCCGAAGAGCCAGTGTTATCTGTAGACACCTCCTAGATAGGCTTTTAATCTGTATTACTGTTTTAATTGTTTGTTTTAATTGTATATGGTGTGTTTATTGTTATATGCACGATGTGGCATTTCATTTTTGCTGTAGTTTGTAAGCCACCCTGAGTTCCCTTCGGGGTGAGAAGGGCGGGGTATAAATATAGTAAATAAATAAATAATAGATAATGTGGCCAACGTGCCTGCATGGAGCGCCGTTACCTTTCCGCCGAAGCGATACCTATTGATCTACTCACATTTACATATTTTCAAACTGCTAGGTTGGCAAAAGCTGGGGTTAATAGCAGGAGCTCACCCTGCTCCCCGGATTCAAATCACTAACCTTTTGGTCAGCAAGTTCAGCAGCTCAGCGGTTTAACCCTGTTGCGCCACCAGGTATGCTAAATACCAACAAATTCTAAGACAAATTCTATTCAATTAATGTAGTTTAATGCACTGAATACACACAAGAGACATTAAACCAGACTTTTCAAGCATCAGACGATAGCCATTCACGCACAGATCGAAAAATGTCAACATTTTTTCCCCTAAAGAAAATATTAAATATTTATTTATTTACAGTATTTATATTCCACCCTTCTCACCCAGCAGGGGACACTGGGCAGATTACAATGTACATATACAGACAAACATTCAATGCCTTAGACGCACAATACATAAGACAGTCAGAGGCTATTTAACATTCCATTTTTTCGGCCACCAGGGGAGCTGTCGCTTCACCGTCCATCTGCGACACTGATGAAGTACTTCCACATTTGCCGCATGCTCGCTGATCTTTATGGCCTCGTAAATATAATCTCTCTTTGCAAGGAGAGGGAAATGTGAAAACGATCCAAAAAAGCTGAAACAGCAGCTTAGTTGAAATAAGACTTGTTTGGGTTGAAGTGTGGTCCCATTAAAAAAAAAATACGAGGGTTATCCGGAAAGTAAGGTGACAAGATTTTTAAAAAAATATAAAGAATGAATGTATTTTAACTTACATGGATTTTAGCATAAGTATTACATTATTTTTCCACATAATGACCATTCAGTTCAATGCATTTTGTCATCTGTGGGGCACGTTTTGGATGCCTGTGTCATAGAAGTCTCCCTTCTGCCTTTTCCAGCCAGTTCGTCCCTTCGATTTTCACCTCGCTGTTGTCAGAAAAGTGTTTTCCACTCAGGTGTTCCTTCAATTGAGCGAACGGATTATAGTCACTGGGTGCGAGATGGAGGCTGTGAGAGGGATGGCTTAAAACATCCCAACCAAAGGAAGTCAACAACTCTTGTGTTGCATGAGTGGTGTGTGGACGTGCATTGTCATAAAGGGGACAATATCCCACCTTCAGCATCCCACAACATTTGTCTTGGATGGCTCTGTGAAGTTTCTTCCTGGTCTCACAATATATTCTGTACCCATTTTGTCACATGTTGTCTTGACGTTACGTCCTCTCCATAAGCTGAAACAATTTCGCGATGAATGTAGCGTATTACAGCACAAACTTTGCACTTGGAGGAAAACAGAATGAGGACGCTCATCTCTAACCTTCACAACGCCAGTTGATGAGCTACTGACGACTAGACCTGCTAGTTCACTTTCGCTGGCTTCCCGCTACACGGCAGTGATACCAACTTCCCCCGAGAAAATTCCTTGTGAGACCTACAGACCTTGTAACCTTACTTTCCAGATAACCCTCGTCATTCAATAAATAAAGAGGGCTTTTTGGCAATTCCATTGCCAGAAATCTCTTCAGAGCTTGGAAAGTTTTCTGGGAGGGGGTACTTGAAGATGTGGTTCAAAAAAGGAACTTTTCCAAGCTGTAAGTCTCTTCTGTACCTCGGACCTTGTAATGGCCTCGTTTCTTCATTCTGGGCAGGCCACAAAGTCCAGAATGCTAACCTGCCCTCTTTATGAAATGATCGACCAAAGGTTTGGCTGCCAGATACTTATTTTGGAGCCAGGACATTCAGCATGGCTATAACGTCTATCATGCCTCATCCAGCATGGCCACTTGGGTGATTTTGGAGACGGTAGTCCATAGAAAAGAAGTGTCTCCAAACTTTAGCCAAGTGTGCCCCCTCTCACAAATGCCATTGGCTTAGTGGGATTCACGTGAGACCAGTGTCTTGTGCAAGTTCCCCTTCTGCCAAGGAGGTCCTGGAGCAAGTGAAGGGTGATGAGGCTCAGGCCTTTGTGTTCTCCTGAATCCAATCCAGATAGCGAACCACATTCGTGTAGACGCCAGGGGTATCTTTCTTCCCGCAGCCCACTCCCCAACTGACGATCCCCACGAGAATCATCCGGTCATCTTTCAGGCAAACCAGGGGGCCTCCAGAGTCTCCCTGCAACAAAGGAACAAAAACAAAGCAATGAGCCACAACTCCTCATTTGTATAATTTACTGCAATCATGCCTATAATATTCCTAGAAAGACGACTATCCTCTAATGCCAATATGATAGAAGTTTTTGCACGCTGATCTGCCCTCAATCATCATAATCTTCTCCTTTATCTGGGGGATTCTCCACTACTTGCCACAAATTGCCTCTTAACAAAAAAAAAAAATTTAAATGACCATGTGGCATAATTGCTGGCATTCAACCTTCCAAAAGGCAACCCACTTTCTTGAAATGTCATTGCTACATTTTTTTTCTTCGTGGACTCTGTGAATGCAAACGTGTGGAGTGTCTGCACCTGCGCAGGCCCCAACGGGAAACTTCCCAAGTTTAAAACTGCAAGTTTTGGCGGTAACCACACTTATCTGAAGAGTAGTCTAGACACACTTATCTGAAGAGTAGTCAGTCTGCGTGTTCATGACATTTAACAAAATGCCATTTTGGGGATCTAATAAAATTGAAACTAAATGTATAAGAATGGCTAATAAATTGAAATCCAAGACAGTTTTTTTCTGCTGATTCCGATGAAATTAATTTTAACATTATGGATGCAAAATCCAGTCAAACAAAGTGAATCAAAGAGTACACAAAAATATGTCGAGAGCATTGTGACTAATATTCAGACTGCAAAAATTTCCATGTAAACGAAGATACGGACTTGAAATTTTGACCAAGCATGATGCTTGGGCTGGACATCATACTGCCAGATTTGCAACTATCCAGCATCTATAGCCGCCCTGCAGAATCTCTTCAAATTTGGCAATGTCTGCGTAAATGGTAAAATCTACCAAAGTTCAAAGCCAATTATTAAAAAAGAGTCTACCTGAATGTGTATCATCTGAAAGTATCATCTGAACAGTATCACCTGAAAGAGAGAATTTGGCTCTACAAGACTGATATGTTTTTGTTTTGCACTGCAACCATTAAGCATCCATTTACTCATGTCAATGTATGTTATAGTTTGTGTATGTATGCATTATATTTTATGCATCCTCATGGTCTTGCTAGTTCATTTTATTGGCCGGTAAGACACAGTACATGCTGGATTCCAAGAGGATGCATAAATGTACAAAATATATCGTAATTTGACCTAGGTAAATGGATACTTAATGGTGCTCTGACTAAAATCTGAATGAAACTTTGGATAGCATAGGGAAGGTTGAACACTCCTGTGATGTTTATTTTGCAGTCTGTGCCCTGTTCAAAAGATTTCATGTCCCTGTCCCTGTGATCATTGGATTTTGGAAAATTTGGCTTGTAGAAAGAAGGGTTAGGAAATAAAGCTTCAGTGAAGAACCCTTTTCCCCATAATAATAACTCTTCCAGGAGTGAACTTCCCTTCTGAGGGATAGCTTTCTCTCACTTCCTGTTGTCTCAGCCCCGTTCTTAACTTGGGGACCATCCGTAACTGATATATCACAATGTGTAAAATGGAATACATATTCAACTAAAGTGAACAGATGGAAACAGAAAAAACATGGGAGTATGGAAGTTCTAGAAAGTGGGATGAATTTGGTATGATTTCATGCACCTTTTTGCACTTTTTCTAACACACAAAGTACCCAAATCGTGACCAATGCTTTAAAAATTTAGGGGAGGAGATTGTGATATACCAGTTACAGTGGGGCCACAGTGATGCAACAGGTTAAAGTGTTCAACTGTTCAATCTGCTGGCCTAAAGCTGTGAGACGGGATCAGCTCCTGCTGTTAGCACTAGCTCTTGCAAACCTAGTAGTTCGAAAAAATGCAAATGTGAGTAGTTCACATTTGCGGGAAGGAAATAAAGGAAATAAATAACATGACCAGGAGGTGCGACCGTACCTCGTGAAGTCGGATCTGGCCAGGATGGTCCATGCCTTAGTCACCTCCAGATTGGATTACTGTAATACACTCTATGTGGGGCTGCCCTTGAAAACGGCCCGGAAATTTCAACTGGTACAACGGGCGGCAGCCAGGTTATTAACTGGTGAGAATTACAGGGAGTGGTCAACCCCCCTGTTTAAGGAGCTCCATTGGCTGCCGTTCATCTTCCAATGCAAGGTGCAGGTTCTTACCTACAGAGCCCTGAATGGTTTGGGACCCGCCTATCTACGTGACCACATTTCTGTGTACGAACCCACACGATCTCTTCAATCATCCGGAGAGGCCCTGCTCACGCTCCTGCCTCCCTTACAGGCGCCATTGGTGGGGACGAGGGAGAGGGCCTACTCAGTGGTGGCCCCCCCGACTCTGGAACTCGCTTCCAAAGGATATCAGGCATGCGCCAACATTGGCAGTCTTTAAGAGGAGCCTGAAAACGTGGCTATTCCAGTGTGCCTTCCCGGAATAAAGGAATAACTCCCAGCAAAATGTCCTTACAAATACATTTTAACCATTGAGTTGCATTGGATTGTGCCCCTCATTTTTTAAAACCCCCACTTTTTAAAAAACCTCTTACGAGATATATCCTATTATGTCATACCCAGCATTATTTTTTTAAATTTTAAATCATTACATCTGGCCTGGCCATAAGCTTTTAAATCCTGTGGGTTATGTGATTGATATTATTTTGTATTGCTTTGTATTGTTGTTATTGCTTTTCTGTTGTGATGTGTTGTTGGGCTTGGCCTCATGTAAGCCGCTCCGAGTCCTTTGGGGAGATGGCGACGGGGTATAAATAAAGTATTATTATTATTATTATTATTATTATTATTATTATTATATAGGTGTCTATGGAGAACAGGCTCCTTGTCTTGGAAATGGAACAAGAGCACAACCCCATGGCCAGAATTGAGCTCCACCTCCAGAAAAGGGAAGTCTTTATCTTTGCTCTGTGTTATTTGTATGTCATTGCTATTCCATTGTATTAAAGGCATTGGATGTTTGCCTATCTGTGTATGTTGAAATCCGCTCTGAGTCCCGTCGGGGAGATAGAGCGGAATATAAACAAAGTGGTATTATTATTATTGGATGGGTGACAAAAGTTAGATCTAAGAGCTGTATGCAGACCATAAGCCACCCTCTGCCCATCCATGCTCTTAATAAGGAGATTTTTAAAGATGCTGGAAGTGGGTTTACCTTGCAGGCGTCATCCAGCTGCCTGGTGTCTCCCGCACAGAGCATGTTCTCAGTGACAGTCCTGTTATGAAGTTGTTTGGGTGTGCAGAGGCTGTCTGGATACAGTCTCACATGCCCTTCCTTCAGGCGCTCCGAGAAGAAAGCAGAAACTGTTGAGAGAAAGGGAAGGTGAGTTATCGAGGAATGCTTTTGCTTATAGGGGAGCGATTTTCTGACTTTTTGAGGACTCTTTCTCTATGTCCATTACACACACACTATATCTTTAAGGAATAAGGCCCTTTGGATCCTTTGCAGCAGAGTTTCTCAACCTAGGGGTTGGGACCCCTGGGGAGGGGGGTCGCCAAAGACCATCAGAAAACACAGTATTTTCTGTTCGTCGTGGAGGTTCTGTGTCAGAAGTTTGGCCCAATTGTATAATTGGTGGGGTTCAGAATGCTACTTCATCATTGCATTCCTCCAGTTGACCATCGAGGAGGAAGAGGAGGAAGAAGAGGAGAAGAGACACTGCTGCAGTTTCTCCTCTTCTTCCTTCTCTTCCTCCTTGAGGGCCAGCTGGAGGAGGAAGACAAGGAGAAGCACAGTGCCCCTTCTCCTCTTCTTCCTTCTCTCCCTCCTCGAGGGCCAGCTGGAAGAGTAGGAGCAAAAAGAGGAGAAACAGCTGCAGCGGCCCCTTTGTGCCCTCCACGGTTTCTCCTCTTCTTCCTTCATGGCCAGCTGGAGGAGGAGGAGAAAGATTGTGGGAAGAGGAGGAGCCAACCTGGAGTGCCTGGCTGTTTGGCAGGCATAGGGGCCGGCAGCCATTTCATAGAGGGGGCTGGGTTAACTGAGGTGCCTTCGCAACCCCCGGAAAATGGCCCAACGACCCCCCTGGTGGTTGCGACCCCCAGGTTGAGAACCGCTGCTTTAAAGGAACAGTAAAAGTGTGGAAAAAAGGAAAGAAGTTAAATCCAGGCAATGAGAATAAGATGGCAACTATATGGCAAATTAATTTTAACAATATAATGATCTCAATGAAATTATTGGCAGAACATTGAGATTAATTGAAAGTAGAGGGAAAAGGTTAGTGAAAGATTTGTATACAGAGGATGGAAACCCTGTAGAACAGAAAGAAATTCAGAATTGGATTGGGTCAGGGAACTGGATTCAGAGCTGGCCTATAAGACAGGAAATTTTTAGACGGAGGGAAAAATTAGAGAACAGGATAGTCCATTTGACAAGGTGATTAGGAAATGTTTGAGAGAGGAGAAGAAGAAATCTTAACAGTCAAAGAAGAAATAATAGAGGACATTTTTCAAACATGGAGAATGGACATGGAAATTGAGAGCGAGGACATCCAAAGGGAAATAAGTAATATAGCAAAAGAAAAATATAATGTATTAAGGGAAGCAAGAAGGAAAATGTTACAAAAATGGTACAGAACTTCTGCACAACTTTCACGTTTTTTTATAAACCAGGGATAAAGGATAGATGTTGACATGGTTGTGAACAAAGAGGTGAGTTTAATCATGTAATATGGGAATGTGATCAAGTGCAAGAATACTGGAGAACGACTGAAGAAGAAATCAATCGAATGTTAAATGTACAAACAGTAATCTATATAAATAAAAATGTAATGTTCGTTTATGGGATTAACAGAATTCAAAAACCACTGGGCCAATTGACACCAAATTTGGACACAAGACACCTAACAACCCAATGTATGTCCTTCACTCAAAAACTGATTTTGTCATTTGGGAGTTGTAGTTGCTGGGATTTATAGTTCATCAACAATCAAGGGGCATTCTGAACTCAACCAATGATAGAATTCAATCAAACTTGGCACACAGAACTCCCATGACCAACAGAAAACATTAGAAGGGTTTGGTGGGCATTGACATTGAGTTTGGGAGTTGTAGTTCACCTACATTCAGAGAGCACTGTGGACACAAACAATGATGGATCTGGACTAAACTCTACAAGAATACTCAATATGCCCAAATGTGAGCACTGGTGGAGTTTGGGAGAAAATAGAATCTTGACATTTGGGAGTTGTAGTTGCTGGGATTTATAGTTCACCTAGAATCATAGAGCATTCAGAACCCCACCAACGATAGAATTGGGCCAAACCTCCTACACAGAACCCCCATGAATACCAGAATGGGCCACAGCAACGTGTGGCAGGGGATGGCTAGTAGGTAATAGAAATGTACTACATGCATGGATATTTGTTTCGACAGGCGTTCGATCTTTGATATGTTGTTTAATTTGTGTTAGATTTTAGTTCGTTCTTGTAAGCCGCTCCAAGCCCTAGGGGAGTGGCGGCATGTAAGTTTAAAATATAAATAAGTAAATAAATAAATAACAGGAGTAAAGAATATACAAAAGGAAAAATTGGTCGACAAATTAATAGCATGTACACAAATTGTTTTAGTGAGAGATCGGAAAGATAAAACAAAATGGACATTGACATATTGGTATAACTATATAGTTAGTATGTTAAATGTGGAAATAACACATTGCAAATGAAATAATATAGATAAAATTGAAAAGGTCACAATAACTAAGAGGATGTGGGAACCAGTTAGGAATTATTTAGAGAATGTGTTAAGATGTGGAGTAGAAAAATTAAGACTGAGATTGATATTGTTTTTGAGACTCCAAACAGGGGAGAGCAGGTGTGCTTGGTACATGGCAGCCTCTTGCACATGTGCAATCAAGGGAGAGTGTGCGAGGATGGAGGGAGGCTTGCACCATCGAGTCCATTCAAGGCATGGGGGTTCTGTGAGGGAAGCTTGGTCCAATTCTATTGTTGGTGGGATACAGAATGTTCTTTGATTGTAGGTGAACTATAAATTCTAGCAACTACAACTCCCAAACATCAAGTCTATTTTCCCCAAACTCCACCAGTGTTCACATTTGGGCATATTGAGTATTCATGCCAAGTTTGGTTCAGATATATTATTGTTTGAGTCCACAGTGCTCTCTGAATGTACATCAACTACAACTCCAAAAGTCAAGGTCAATGCCCACCAGACCCTTCTAGTATTTTCTGTTGCTCATGGGAGTTCTATGTGACAGGATTGGCTCAATTCCATCGTTGGCAGAGTTCAGAATGCTCTTTGAATTATAAATCCCAGCAATTACAACTCCCAAATGATAAAACCAAACACCCAACCCCACTAGTATTCAAATCGGATATTTGTGCCAAATTTGGTCCAGTGAATGAAAATACATCCTGCATATCAGATACTTACATTACAATTCATAACAGTAGCAAAATTACAGTTATGAAGTAGCAACGAAAATAGTGTTATGGTTGGGGGTCACCACATCATGAGGAACTGTATTAAGGGCCTGAGGAATTCGGAAGGTTGAGAAACACTGCCCTAAGTGACAAGCTGGAATGTGTCCAGAGAAGAGCGACTAAAATGATAAAATGTCTGGAGAACAAGCCCTATGAGGAGCGGCTTAAGGAGCTGGGCATGTTTAGCCTGAAGAAGAGAAGGCTGAGAGGGGATATGATAGCCATGTATAAATATGTGAGAGGAAGCCACAGGGAGGAGGGAGCAAGCTTGTTTTCTGCTTCCCTGGAGACTAGGACGCGGAACAATGGCTTCAAACTACAAGAGAGGAGATTCCATCTGAACATGAGGAAGAACTTCCTGACTGTGAGAGCCATTCAGCAGTGGAACTCTCTGCCCCGGAGTGTGGTGGAGGCTCCTTCTTTGGAAGCTTTTAAACAGAGGCTTGATGGCCATCTGTCAGGGGTGATTTGAATGCAATATTCCTGCTTCTTGGCAGGGGGTTGGACTGGATGGCCCATGAGGTCTCTTCCAACTCTTTGATTCTATGATTCTATGATTTCAAATGTAACTTCTGTAGTTTGATGTATAAATTGCATGTACAAGGAGGGTAGGATGGGAGTGGGAAAAAACAATGAAAAAACATTTTTTTTAAAAAAGGAAAAGCACGGCACAGATATTTGAAAACGAGAAGGGGATTATTCAGAAAGCTTAGGATGGGATGGGTGGAGAGCCATTTCTTGGGGGACTCAGACATGCTGTAATAGAAGGCAGATGCCGTTCTGGTGTAAACACCATTACACAGGCCAATTAATAACTAGATAGGAATCTAACTCACTGAACTTTTCTTCTAAATCAAATCCAGGAAAGGAGATAAGTTTATTTAGGGTTGATTTATCACCAAGACATTTTTTTCCAGAACCACAAAATGAAATCTAGGAGGTGGCCATTTCTATTCTAACACGGGTCAACCTGAATGCTAGCGAGTACAAAAGCCAAACTGAAGCTGCCCCCTTCCCAAACAAAGTCCTTTTAGAGATAAAGCAGTGTTCCTCAACCTCCTCTTAATACAGTTCCCAATGCTGTGGTCACCCCAACCATAAAATTATTTTCGTTGCTATTGCATAGCTATAATTTTGCTACGATTATGAATTGTCATGTAAATATCTGATATGCAAGATGTATTTTCATTCACTGGACCAAATTTGGCACAAATACCCAATATGCCCAAATGTGAATACTGGTGGAGTTTGGGGAAAATAGACTTGACATTTGGGAATTGTAGTTGCAGGGATTTATAGTTCACCTACTATCAAAGAGCATTCTGAACTCCAACAACAATAGAATTGGACCAAACATCTCACACAGAACCCCCATGAGAAGCACTGAGGTAAAGGTTAGTCATGTCCAACTCTGGTAGGTGGTGCTCATCTCCATTTCAAAGCCGAAGAGCCAGCGTTATCCATAGACACGTCCAAGGTTATGTGGCTGGCATGACTCCATGGAGCGCTGTTACCTTCCCGCAGAAGCAGTACCTACTGATCTACTCCCATTTGCATGTTTTCAAACTACTAGGTTGGCAGGAGCTGGGGGCTAACAGCGGGAGCTCACCCTGCTCCCTGGATTTGAACCGCCAACCTTTCAGTCAGCAAGTTCAGCAGCTCAGCAGTTTAACCTGCAGCACCACTAGGGAGCCCAAACAAAGGCTACTACAAAGCAAAGTCAAGCAGTATTACAATACTGCTCATAGTATTGTGAAGTTATGATAACATGTTGGCGTCCAGGAAAGCTCAAATATATGCATTCCTTTTAATGCAGTCTGTTATTGATCTTGTTTTGCTTGCCTGAACTATATTTGTTTTGCACACTACAGCAGTGTTTCCAAACCTGGGGGGCGAGACCACTGGAGGGGGTGCCAGAGGAGTCACCAAAAACAAACAGAAAACACAGCATTTTCTGTTGGTCATGGGGGTTCTGTGTGGGAGGTTTGGCCCAATTCTATCATTGGTGGGGTTCAGAATGCTCATTGATTGTAGGTGAACTATAAATCCCAGCAATTACAACTCCCAAATGTCAAGGTCAGTGTTCACATTTGGGCATATTGAGTATTTGTGCCAAGTTTGGTCCACACTTATGATTGTTTGAGTCCACAGTGCTCTCTGGATGTAGGTGAACTACAGCTCCAAAAATCAAGGTGCCCACAAACCCTTCCAGTATTTCCTGTTGGTCATAGGAGTTCTGTGTGCTAAGTTTGGTTCAATTCCATTGTTGGTGGAGTTCAGAATGCTCTTTGATTGTAGGTGAACTATAAATCCCAGCAACTACAACTCTCAAATGACAAAATCAAGCCCCCCAACAACCTCACCAGCATTCAAAATTGGGCGTACCGGGTATTTGTGCCAAAATTGGTCTAGTGAATGAAAATACATCCTGCATAGCAGATATTTACATCACGATTCATAACAGTAGCAAAATTAGTTATGAAGCAGCAACGAAAATAATTTTGTGGTTGTGCATCACACCAATATGTATTAAGGGGTCATGGCATTAGGAAAGCTGAGAACCACTGTACGAGAGGGATGGGTAGCATTAGGTCAGTTTTTACCTTCTACTCTGTTCCTACTTCCAGTGTGGAGAAATCTCCAAATACAGGTCGATTCTTACAGGTGGAGTCATATAGCAATAACCTATATGACCACCTGGGCCTAAAGCAGGCATGGGCAAACTTCGGCTCTCCAGGTGTCAGCAGGTTCAGCAGCTCAGCGGTTTAACCTGCAGCACCACTAGGGAGCCCAAACAAAGTCTACTACGGCTGTTAGGATAATTTAGAGCCCTGTGCTTACATTCCTCGTGTTTGCCGTAACCGGAGACTTCACATTCAGTCCACTGGGGCAGCTTGAGCCCAGGTTCAGGGAGGCAGGCTGGGCGAACTGACTCCGTTTCTTCTGCACACTCTTCAGATACGGATTTCAGCTTCAGCAGTGCTGGCAAACAAAGAAGAAGAAAAGGAGAGTGAAGACCAAGAACCTGGAAATGGCGTCCGCAAGCCCACAAACACAGAAGCAGGAGGAGAGGCCTTACCGATGTCGTTGTCAAACGTTGAAGGAGCAAACTCTTTATGCAAGATGAATTTCTCCACTTGGAACACCTGTTCGGTATTTTCAGGCTTCACCCGGGAAGTCCTGCCCAACACAACTTTGAGGCGGCTGGTGACAGTGCTGCAAAACGGAAAAGCACTTTGGAGGCTACTTGCGAAGTAAGAAGCTTGTGTCATTCTCATTGCTACTATGCAAGAGTGACAAGTCACTTTTTTTTTCCTTGGTTGGCTTCTGTGTTGTATACGCTGACGAGTGGGCTTATTAACGAAAGACACTCCCCGTAAATGTATAGCAGAGTAACTTATTAGCAGCACCAGTAGCCCAAAGTGATAAAAAGAACAAAAAGCATGCAGACTAATGTTATCTCTACCATAGGAGGCCTTTCTTTGTCGTAAAATAATATGGTTGCACTATTTACAAGAACAAGGTTTCCATAACATAAATATTTCCTTCTTTGCTTCCACACTGGGCTTCTTTCTCATATCATAGAATCGCAGATCATAGAATCATAGAGTTGGAAGAGACCTCATGGGCCATCCAGTCCCACCCCCTGCCAAGAAGCAGGAATATTGCATTCAAAGCACCCCCAATAGATGGCCATCCAGCCTCTGTTTAAAAGCTTCCAAGGAAGGAACCTCCATCACACTCCAGGGCAGAGAGTTCCACTGCTTAACGGCTCTCACAGTCAGGACGTTCTTCCTAATGTTCAGATGGAATCTCCTTTCTTGTAGTTTGAAGCCATTGTTCCTCGTCCTAGTCTCCAGGGCAGGGGTCCTCAAACTTTTTAAACAGAGGGCCAGGTCACAGTCTCTCAAACTGTTGGAGGGCCGGATTATAATTTGAAAAAACCATGAATGAATTCCTATGCACACTGCACGTATCTTATTTGTAGTGAAAAAACACTATAATAATTAAAATGAAGAACAATTGTAACAAACATAAACTTATTAGTATTTCAATGGGAAATGTGGGTCTGCTTGTTATTGTTGTTGTTGTGTGCTTTCAAGTAATTTCAGACTTAAGTTGAACCTGAGCGAGGGCCGGGTAAATGACCTTGGAGGGCCGTATCCGGCCCTCAGGCCTTAGTTTGAGGACCCCTGCTCTAGGGCATCAGAAAACAAGCTTGCTCCCTCCTCCCTATGACTTCCTCTCACATATTTATACATGGCCATCATGCCTCCTCTCACACTGAACTTACACAGAAGTTTCACACAGTAGCTTTTTACACACAGCACCCTTCACACATAAGGCCTTCAACCTGGGGCTTCTCTCACACCAAAGCTTCTCACACCAGGCCCTCACACACTGAGGCCTTTTTCCCACAGAGGCCTTCTCACACTGAGGGCTACCTCAGACAGAGGTGTCTCTCACACTGAGGTGAACTAAGTAGCTTTTTACACACAGCAGCCTTCAAATTGGGGCTTTACACACAAGGTCTTCAACCTGGGGCTCCTCTCACAGAAGCCTTCTCACACCAGGCCTTTCTACACCAGGCCTCCACACTGAGGCCTACTAACTCTGAGGCCTACCTCAGGTCTTTCTCCCACTGAGGCCTACTAAGCTACAGGCACACTTGCTTATATAGAACTATAGCTTTTGCTGAGTCATTACATCTATTTAACCCTTTCAGTGCTTTGCTCACATTTTTGTAATTAAAAATACCTAGTTAATTTTTAATATTTCTAACAATATAACCCTTGGGAATATATCTCCAACAAGGCCCCTTCCAAAGTCTATTTTGGCAGAGAATAAATAAAGATGACAAAAACAACAATTCCCAGAAGCCTCCAGCCAGCATAACCAATTTCTGAGAACCGTTCTCCAAAAGTAATTTTTCCAAACTCAGATCCAAATCAGTTACCAATGACAGCACTCTCAGTCATTAGATGAGCAGGTTGCCTTTGCTTTCAAATGACTTCAAGGCTGGCAGGAAGTCCGAAGCAGACACAGAGGAAATTTCCCTTACTTCTGTTCTAAGCAGTGGGCAGCTGAGAGGACCCAGCAGGAACTGATCAGAATCCCTCCACAGATAAAGCCATCCGCTTGTCGGGACCGGATGAAAATGGCCGCCTGCCACGGGTGGGACTGTATGTGCGAGAAGAGGCCTCCTTTGATCCGGAACTGGGCCACTCGCTGTCTTCTCAATCCACAGGTGGCTGCAGGTTGCAAAGGCAGGTGGAAGAGGGAAGAATATAGAGAAAGAACTATGATCTGCTGGCCATGGCTGGCATCCTATTAGTGACATAGAATCATAGAGTTAGGAGAGACCCCAAGGCTCATTTGGTCAGGCAAGAAAAGCACAATCAAAGCAGCCCCAACAGATGGCCATCCTGTTGGGCGAGTGGGCTTATTAACAAAAGACCCTCCTCATAAATGCACAGTAAAGTAACTTATTAGCAGCAGCATGACCCAGTAGCCAAAACTGACAAAAAGAACAAAAACACACAGACCAATGTTATCTCTTCCTTAGGAGGCTTTTCTTTGTAGCAAAATAATATGGTTGCACTATTTACAAGAATATTAACACAAATAAAGTTATTTATATTTCCTTCTTTTCTTCCTGGGCTTCTTTCTCATACAGATAAACAGCTTCACTCTCACAAAGCCCCTTCTCGCACTAAACTTACACAGGAGCTTCACACAGTAGCTTTTTACACACAGCAGCCTTCACACTAGAGCTTTACACACGAGGACTTCAACTTGGGGCTTCTCTCAGCGAAGCCTTGTCACACACTGAGGCCTACTAACTCTGAGGCCTACCTCAAACTAACTCAAACTGAGGGCAACTAACACTGAGGCATACTAAGCTACAGGCACACCTGCTTATATTGAACTACAGCTTTTGCTGAGTCACTGCATCCATTTAACCCGCCTACTAACTCTGAGGCCTACCTCAAACTGAGGATCTTGGGACTTATTAGTATTAGTATTAGTATTAGGATCTTGGCCCTTCATGAGAGTTGTAGTTTCCCAAGGACCAGCTTCGATCCCAGCGTGGCAGAATTCCACCCAATGGCTCAGTGGGAAATCAACAGACTTTCCTTTTGGGCTTTAAGAGCTCTGCCTAATGTTTTGGACTCGCAAGGACATCTTTCCCGCTCATGAACTTCCCTCAAAATGAACTATGGACTCATATTGCTTGAAAATAATTTCTTTATTCAATTTATTTGGTGGGTGGGATGGGGAAGGAGATATTTGATATGAATTTCTGTGGATTTCTGTATTCCCCCATGTATTTTCCTTATTCTTGCCCTGACACCCAAACCTATCACTCCTTCCCCCTCCCCCTCCCCTTGGGTAAATCAATCCAGGAAGCGGCCAGCTGTTGAAAGGGCAATCACCTGCAACAAAAGAAACTCATATCCCAGAACTCTGGTGAGGACAATAAGACCTGGAATCCCTATGTGGCTCCAGGATTGAGGCCATCAGGCTGAGATCTCTTTCTGCAGACTTTTGGCCATTTTACAATAGGAGCGAGACGCCTTCCCAATTTTGTTTACTTCATTCAAAACCGGACATTTCCCCAGCCTCCCCTTTTGTGCCTTATCTGATTGTGGCAGGAAGGCCAGGATGAAAGTAATCAAGGATCATCGCAACTCCACTCAAGGACAATAGACTGGGCATCACACCCATTGATTCATTTGCCAGCTCATTGTTTCTGTTTTCATCCTGCCTCCCTCCTCCTGATTTGTCAAGGCGCTGAAGCAGGGAAAGCTCTCCCTTTGGCTCCTGTGCAGCGGAGGAGCTCTGTGATTGGCCCTGACAAAGGGAGGGCGGCTGCGCCTCCTCTCAGCTGGAATCCCATCAGCCAATCACCTGCAAGCCAGGCAGAGGGCGGGAGTTTTGGAATTTTCAAACCTGGAAATTCCTATAAAAATGCCTCTGATCTCTGTACTGGTATGCCTTGCATGTGAGCTATCACTGCATTGCATCCGCTTCAGCTGAATCGCTCATTAAACCTCGATGCCTCTTCTTCGCTTTGGCAAGAGTCTCACTTCAATTTTTAATATTAATAACATTGCTGGAATCAGGCTTCTCTGAAGGCTCGCCAAAGTAGCGTTCCCTCTTTGGTGGGAACTAAGGGTCCTCTCCCCTTGGAGTCGACCCTCCAAAAGTTCCCATTGACTTCAGGCACACCTGCTTATATTGAACTACAGCTTTTGCTGTGTCACTGCATCCATTTAACCCTGACTCACATTTTTGTAATTAAAAAAACCTAGTTAATTTTTAATATTTCTGACACATCCAGCCTCTGCTTAAAAGCCTCCAAGGAAGGAGCCTCCAACACACTCTGAGGCAAAGAGTTCAACTGCTGTGAACAGCTCTTCTAATGGTCCTTCATTGCTTCCATGCTGGGATTCTTCCTCATGCTTCGCTTTCACAGAGCCTCCTTTTACATAGAACTTACACTGAAGCTTTACACACAGCTTTACACACGAGGCCTTCAACCCGGGGCTTCTCTTACCAAAGCTTCTCACACTCTGCCTTCTCACAGATTAAGACCTACCTCACACAGAGGCTTCTCTCACAGACTAAGGCCTACCTCACACTGTGAGGCCTTCTCACAGACTGAGACCTTTTTCCCATTGAGGTATACCTCAGACTGACAGCTACTAAGCTACAGGCACGCCTGCTTATATAGAACTGCAGCTTTTGCGGAGTCATTGCATCCACTTAACCCTTTCAGTGCTTGACTTACATTTTTTCTAATTAAAAATACCTAGTTAATTTTTAATATTTCTGACAAGGTATACCACATGGAAAGCTAAATGGTCATTCCTTCTAAACCAGACATCTTCAACCTGTCAACCTCTAAGTATTTTGGACTTCAGCTTCCAGAATTTATGACCATTGTACAAGCTGGAAATAGGGCCTTCTGTGAATTGGAGGCCCAAACACCTGGAAATCCAGGTATTAAAGTTTCAAGCCACATATCCACTGGTACCTTCGCAGGCCCAGTAAGTGGTTGAAGCTAATCCAGACAAGACAGAGGTCCTCCTGGTCAGTTGTGGGGCCAACCGGGGTATTGGGTGGCAACCTGTGCTCGACGGGTTTACACTCCCCCTGAGGGCACAGGTCCATAGCTTCAGCTTCCAGAATTTATGACCATTTTACAAGCTGGAAATAGGGCCTTCTGTGAATCCAGGTTGGGGGTCCTCCTGGACTCAACGCTGTCACTTGATGCTCAGGTGTCGGCGGTGGCCGGGAGGGCCTTTGCACAACTTAAACTCGTGCGCCAGCTGCAACCATACCTCGTGAAGTCTGACTTGGCCAGCGTGGTCCACACCTTGGTTACATCTAGATTGGACTATTGCAATGCACTCTACATGGGGCTGCCCTTGAAGACGGTCCGGAAGCTCCAACTGGTACAACAGGCGACAGCCAAGCCTCTTACTGGGGCAAACTATAGGGAGCATACAACGCCCCTTTTAAAACAGCCTCACTGGCTGCCGATAAGTTGCCGAGCCAAATTCAAGGTGCAGGTTATGACCTATAAAGCCCTAAATGGTTCGGGCCCCGCCTATCTTCACTATCGCATCTCCCGATACGAACTGGCGTGAACTTTAAGATCTTCCGGGGAGGCCCTCCTTTCACTCCCACCACCGTCACAAGCACGGTTGGTGGGGATGAGAGAGAGGGCCTTCTCGGTGGTGGCCCCTCGCCTCTGGAACGCCCTTCCTAGAGAAATAAGACAGGCCCTCCCTCCCCTCCTTTTGTAAGAGCCTGAAGACCTGGTGGTTTAAACAAACCTTTGAGAACAACTAGTTCTAGCTCGGCCCCAGATACTGTTGAATATGGCCATATCTTCTTCTTCCAATTACCAAGGTTACTCTCTTCTGTTAGGCCCTGGAAATGTACAGCCATAGACACTACCTAATTTCCTGGGCCCTCTAAAATCGCCCGGCCCGGCCTTTTAAACAGCCTTGATCAGGCATGATTATTTTAAATATATGTGCTATTGTGGTTTTAATGCTTATATTGTCTTGTTAATTTTATGTTTATGCCATTTTTCTTGTATGTATTTATTATGTTACTTGGAAACCGCTCTTGTATGTATTGATTATGTTACTTGGAGTCCCCTTGGGGAGATACAGCGGGATATAAATAAAGTTTTGTTGTTGTTGTTGTTGTTGGTGTTGGTGTTAGTGTTGGCTGCTGCTCTTGAGAAGAAAGGGAAGATACCACTTACAACAGACTGGTACATCACAGTATTCCCACTTGAGCTGCCTGCCTTTGAGAACGTGGCACCATGGCTGGGTGTCATTGTCAGGATTCCTGCAAAGAGAAGCAAAAGTGGATTGTTTTAGAGGTTAACCCAGGCCTGGGAATACTTTGGAGGGCCAAAGTTTGCTCATGTCTAATTTAACTAAAGGATAAAGGAAAGAATCTCCTTACCGACAGAAGTTGTGGCTCCCAAGTCCGAGCTGCTGTGCATTAACGTTTAAAGCAGTGTAGACTTTTTTGGCAATGATCTGGGAGTCCCATCTCAGGCAAGTGGCACCGGAGCGTGTGTGGCTGTAACCGCCTCTGTAGTCTGTGCCCCTTCCAGAAAAACACGTATGCTTTTCTGTGACAGAGAAATTAAAAAAAAACGTTGAATCAAGTCCAATATCAGTTCCATTGTAACAATTGCCCTAACCTTAAAAGTCCCTCTGGTGGCCTGGTTAAACCGCTGAGCTGCTGAACTTGCTGACCAGAAGGTTGGCGGTTCGAATCTGGGGAGGGGGGTGAGCTCCCGCTGTTAGCCCCAGCTTCTACCAACCTAGCAGTTCAAAAAAATGTGAGTAGATCAACAGGTACCGCTCAGGCAGGAAGGTAATGGCACTCCATACAGTCATGCCAGTCCCTCTGGTAGCCTGGTTAAACCGCTGAGCTGCTGAACTTGCTGACCAGAAGGTTGGCGGTTCGAATCTGGAGAGGGGGTGAGCTCCCGCTGTTAGCCCCAGCTTCTACCAACCTAGCAGTTCCAAAAAATTTGAGTAGATCAACAAAAATGTGAGTAGATCAACAGGTACCGCTTAGGCAGGAAGGTAACGGCACTCCATACAGTCATGCCAGTCCCTCTGGTGGCCTGGTTAAACCGCTGAGCTGCTGAACTTGCTGACCAGAAGGTTGGCAGATTGAATCTGGGGAGGGCACATGACCATGGAGGTGTCAAGGGGAAACCTTTACTAAAGGGCGAAACCCAACCGCCACTGCCCTGACTTCCATGACAATTGCCATGACCTTGAGTTATGGAAACTAGCCTTACTCTACTGTCTAATGTGTACCACTCAAATATATTCCCAGTGCAAGCTGGACCTTAAACCTACTGTCAGAGCAGGAAGGGATGCTGCAGTGTTCCCAGGTATATTTTCTCCCTTTGTAACTGTGGCACCAGGGCTTGTGGTCCTTATCTGGGTTCCTAAAGAGAGAAGAAGAAAAATATGTATTCTTATGCAATAAGTATTTTGCCAGACTCACTCAAGTTTCTGAAAAAAAACAAAACAAAACGAAATAAGATGCAAAATGTTAGGAATGCCCAAATAAATGCATTTCGTACAATGATATATATATAAACATACAGATACATACATGCGTGCACACACGCACACACACACACACTGAGATTCTAGATAGACGGGGAAAGGAAGGGGCCTGTTAGGAATTGTAGGACGTCCAGGTGCAGATTTCGATACAAGAAAACATTATGTTAAAAGAAAGTGAATGGTCAAGTTTGGATGCAAAGACAGAGTGGTCCATTTTCTCACCGGCAATAGTTATGGTTGCCAATCCCCAGCACCATGGCATTTGGCCGGCGTGCGTTGTGCCGCTTATTGATCAAGGCGCTGTTGTTCCAGTTTAAGCAGTTGGCTCCAGTCTCTGTGATGCTCCACATCCCACGGTAGGTTTCTCCTGCATCCTGGTAGCAAGTAGCTTTGGTGTCTGAATTAAAGGTGGCAAAGAAGTTGTGTCAGTACCATCCTCTTTTCTCAATTCCCCGGTCATTGGCTTTTGCAAAATTTCATAGGGATATTCTGTCAGTTTTTTTGGGCTGTATGGCCATGGTCCAGAAGTATTCTCTCCTGACATTTTACCTGCATCTATAACAGGCATCCTCAGAGGTTGTGAGGTCTGTTGTAGGTTTTCCGGGCTATATGGCCATGTTCTGGAGGCAATTTTTCTCCTGACGTTTCGCCTGCATCTATGGCAAGCATCCTCAGAGGTAGTGAGGTCTGTTGGAAGTAGGAAAAATGGGTTTATATATCTGTGGAATGACCAGGTCTCACCTGGCCCCCTGCTAGGAATTAAATGGCCTAGCAGTTTTCAAGATGTTCCTGGGGGAATCCTTTGTTGAGAGGTGATTAGCTATCCCTGATTGTTTCTTGTCTGGAGTTTCCCTGTTTTTGAACATTGTTCTTTATTTATTGTTATGATTTTAGAGGTTTTTTAAATACTGGTAGCCAGATTTTGTTCATTTATGGTTTCTTCCTTTCTGTTGAAATTGTCCACATGCTTGTGGATTTCAATGGCTTCTCTTTCAGTGGCCAATTGAAACATTCATACCTACCACCAACAGAGAAGAGATCTCTCTCCCACTGACATTCCACAGATATATAAACCCCATTTTCCTAGTTTCCAAAAGACCTCATAACCTCTGAGGATGCGTGTCATAGATGCAGGAAAAATGTCAGGAGAGAATGCTGACGTTTGGAACATGGCCATACAGCCCGAAAAACTTACAGCAACCCAGAGATTACAGTCATGAAAGCCTTCATAGAATCATAGAGTTGGAAGAGACCTCATGTGCCATCCAGTCCAACCTCCTGCCAAGAAGCAGGAATATTGCATTCAAAGCACCCCTGACAGGTGGTCATCCAGCCTCTGTTTAAAAGCCTCCAAAGAAGGAGCCTTCACCACACTCCGGAGCAGAGAGTTCCACTGCTGAACAGCTCTTACAGTCAGGAAGTTCTTCCTCATGTTCAGACGGAATCTCCTTTCTCCCTCAACAATACATTCATAGGAAGAAGCTATTAACATTTTTAAAAATTGCAGCCTACTACTCGTACTATATCTGTGGAATGTCCAAGATATATAAACCCCACTTGCCTAGTTTCCAACAGACCTCACAACCTCTGAGGATGCCCGGAAAACTCACTACAACCCAGCGATTCCAGCCATGAAAGCCTTCGACAATACATAGCCCTGCTTAGGTTCGGCAAATTCAGGGTTACATCAGTCCACATGTAGAATGGTCTCCCACTTTACCATGTGTTATTTTTTCCCCAATGAGTTGCATTATCTCACGATGACACAAAACATTGAGTGTCTTAGTTTAGTCACTTAGACTTCTAGTGAGAATCAGAGCCCAATTTACCCTCATATACACACACCAATTGATCTTTTTGGCACTCTATATCATCCACAGAATATCCCCCAGTGCTGTATTTCAGATGGGTTGAGTCTCATCCCGTTGAGTGCCTTCTGGCCCATCTGGTAGAACCATGAACACACTGTCTCCTGATGCAGCACCTATAACTGACTTCTCACAGCAACTCACCAATTTCACAGTGTTTCCCCAAAAAGCCCGGGGGACACAAACAGATGAAAAGGTTAGATGAGTATAATGGCTCTTGGCAGCGGCCTCCATTGAAACACCGTGGCTTCAAACAGCCTGTCAGATAAAGAACAAGAGTATTTCAGTTTTTCTTTGTAGGTCTCCCAATCTCATGCAGAAGTTCCCATATTCCCTCTTTGACATCTCCAGGCAGCAGGAGATGGAAAGCACCACAGATACTCATATCGCATGACCTATTTGCCCAAGATGGCAACCTCATATCCCAATTCTGGCAGTGTAACCTTATTTTGCAACACTACCTTAGGTAATATGAAGCGGGTACTCTATTTGCCACTCTTTTGGGTAGCAAAATGTCTTGGGTTGGACCTGACACATTGTCAGATAAATAAAAAATTAAGTAGGTGTCTCCCTCCATGTACCATCTTGGGCCTTCCGTTCATCTGGGGAGGCCCTTCTTTCGCCCCTGCCAGCATCACAAGCTCGCCTGGTAAGCACAAGGGAGAGAGGTTTCTCCTCTGTGGCTCCCCAACTTTGGAACTCACTACTTGGAGAAATTAGGAAAGCCCCTACCCTAGAAACCTTTAAAAAGGATCTTAAAACCTGGCTCTTCCGCTGCGCCTTTGGAGAGTAGGTATACAATCCCACATTACTGCTTAGCCTCAACCTTCTGTCATTGGAGTATATGTCGTCCCCCCTCTGTGGGAAAGCTTGATTCCCCAACCCCGGCTACAATGAGCTCTCCTCCGCAAATAATCTGTCTCTTTTTATCTCGCCCAAGTTTTAAATTAGTTTTAATTGACCTGTGTGTTTTTGTTCTTTTCAACACTTTGGGCTACTGGTGCTGGGTCACGCTGCTGCTTATAATTAGTACATTTATGAGGAGGGTCTAAGCCCACTCGCCCAAAAAACATGTCAGTGTTTTATTAAAATGATGAGGGCTAACATGGAATCCCTTTGACAACATTTTTTATTTATTTATTTATCATACTTGTATCCCATCTTTCTCAACCCTGAAGGGGACTCAAGGAGGCTTATGTAATCCTGAGGGTTGCAGCATAAGGAAGCATTAATGTTCTCCGGCTAAGATCCTTCCCAAACTGGCAAACCCAAGGTTTCAATAGGGTGAGAGATAAAGTAGACAGAGCTCTACCATGGTTTTGGACACATATCTAGGACTCACCTTCCACAGGCACTGTGTGGCAGAAGATGCCTCTGCTCTCACACCGACAATATTCAATGTGTCGGTTCGCTTGCCGTAGCCAACTCTCCCTCTGCTGATACACCTGTTGAGTCGTCTGGTCTTTGCATAAGACTATGATCAAAAGAGAGGAAGTTCCTCTTAGAAGACGGACCTCAGGGCATCCATTCCCAACTTCTAAGGACCAATTCATGACAGGTAAAGTCATGATGCAGCCATTCAAAATTGGTTTGTTCCACTTGATATTGCCGGTGATTTATGGGGGCATAAAGGGACAGTGGGTTTGTATGACCAAGTACGAATTTCAACCCTGGTATGCTAGACTCCAAGACTGAAACCATTACATGATGTGGGTTCCCACTTTTCTGGCTCAGCACCAATTCTGGAATCAGGGCCCCCTCTTAGTTGCTTACCTCTTCTTGATGGTGAGGCTCCCCGTGTCCCTCGTTTACTGCGAACGGAAAGCTCCTGCCAAGAGAAAAGAACAAATTAAAGACATGCCTTGCCACAAAAAAGTCATGCTAAACATGATTTGTGGCAACCTTTGTTGTTTATTCAGTCACTTCTGACTCTTCATGATCTCTTGGTCCAGCCCACACCAGAGCTTCCTGTTGACTATAGATACCCCCAGCTAATTCAAGGACAAGCCAGTTACTTCAAGGATAACATCCATCAATCTTGCCCTCATGGTCGGCCCCTCTTCCTTTTTCCTTCCTTTCCCCCCACAATCATTCTCTTCTCCAAGATTTCCTAACTTCTCATTATGTGGACAAAGTAGTTCATCTTTGACCACTAATATCCTTCCCTCCAGTGAGTTGTCGGGCATTACTTCCTGGAGAATGGTCTGGTTCTATCTTTTTTGCGGTCCAAAGCACTCTCAGAATTGGCCTCCAACACCACAGTTCAAAAGTGTCTACCTTCCTTCGCTCAGCCCTTCTTAAGGTCCAGCTCTCATATCCATACATTACTACGGAGAACGTCGTTGATTTAACTATGTGGACCTTCGTTGTCAGTGTGATGTCTCTACTCTTCACTATTTTATTGAGATTGGTCATTGTTCTCCTCCCAAGAAGGAAACGTCTTTCGATTTCCTGGCTGCAGTCTGCGTCTGCAGTCATCTTGGTGCCCAGAAATACAAAGTTTGTCACTGCTGCCACGTTTTCCTCCCTCTACTTGTCAGTTATCAATCAGTCTGGTTACCATAATCTTAGTTTTTTTTATGCATAACTGCAACCAAGCAGTTGCAGTTGTGGTGTTGGAGGAAAGTGCTGAGAGTTCCTTGGACAGCGAGAAGATCCAACCAGTCCATACTTCAGGAAATAAAGCCCGACTGCTCATTGGAGGGAAGGATAGTAGAGGCAAAGATGAAGTACTTTGGCCACATCATGAGAAGAAAGGAAAGCTTAGAGAAGACAATTATACTGGGGAAAATGGAAGGAAAAAAGAAGAGGGGCATCCTTGAAGTGACTGGATTGACCTTGAAGGACCTGGGGGTGGTGATGACCGACAGGGAGCTCTGGCGTGAACTATTCTATTAAGTCACGAAGAGTCGGAAACGACTGAACGAATGAACAACAAGCAACCCAGCTTTTGCGTTTTCTTCTTACACCTTAGTTCTAAGGCTCCTCAGCTTCTCCTTGCTTTCAGCCATCAAAGTGGTATCATCTGCATATCTAAGGTTGTTCATGTTTTGGCCAGCCATTTTAATTTCAGTGATGATCATTTTTCCTGGATAATCTGGATTATTGCTTTAGTTTGCTTTTCAAGCTAAATTTACTGCTACTTTTGAGTTTTTGACCAGAGACACTGAAGCAAGTGTCTCTGAGTCTCTTTTGCTTTGTATCAATAAACTATTCTTTTAGACATACTCCTGAGTCTGGCTCTTTAAGGCGTCTGGGTTCCGACAGACACCCTGAGTCACCTTTGGGCTGATATAGGCGGGATAGAAATAGCATAAATAAATAAATAAATAAATAAATAAATAAATAAATATCTGAAATTTTTTTAAAAGCCTTTCAAAGCCCTGTTCCCTGCAGAGAGTCTGTGGCCAGCATGACTGCTTGGAGCGCCGTTACATTCCTGCCAGAGCAGTACCTATTGATCTACTCACATATGCATGTTTTCTTTTCTTTTTTTCGAACTGCTAGGTTGGCACAAGTTGGGATAGAAATAGCGTAAATAAATAAATAAATAGTCTGAAAATTGTTTAAAAGTCTTTCAAAGCCCTGTTCCCTGCAGAGAGTCTGTGGCCAGCATGACTGCATGGAGCGCCGTTACATTCCTGCTAGAGCAGTACCTATTGATCTACTCACATTTGCATGTTTTCTTTTTTTTTCTGAACTGCTAGGTTGGCAGAAGTTGAGATAAAAATAGTGTAAATAAATAAATAAATAGTCTTTAAAATGTTTTTAAAGCCTTTCAAAGACTTGTTCCCTGCAGAGAGTCTATGGCCAGCATGACTGCATGGAGCGCCGTTACATTCCTGCCAGAGCAGTACCTATTGATCTACTCACATTTGCATGTTTTTGTTTTTGTTTGGTTTTTTTGCCGAACTGCTAGGTTGGCAGAAGTTGGGCTAGCAACGGGAGCTCACGCCACTCCCAGGATTCAAACCTGCGACCTTTCAGTCAGCAAGTTAAGCAGCTCAGCAGTTTAACCCACTGCGCCACTGGGGGTAAACATGCCCATGCACAAAATAACCCCCCTGGTCTCTTACCTTGCACTGAAGTGTGACAATGGCTCCCAAAAGCAGAAACAGGAGGAACTGCTGCCCCATCCTCATCTTAATGCCTTCGTTTTTCTAACTGAACGAATGTCTTCTAGCAATCAAGGACCTTCAAACAAAAAGTAGAAACAGAAATAGGAAAGGAGAAAAGATAGCTCATGAATATCGCACACTACCACAAGAGCACATGCCGGCAAATAGACGGCCTTCTTCTGGGAGCTGTGATGGCTCTGACAGAAGGGTTTTGAGCACAACGGCTGGCGGAGGGCAGGTCTGTCCCTTTGTATGTGCTGAATGCAGAGCAGCAGCAGCAGTGTTTACTTGTGGATTTAAAGCTAAGTCTCATCTGCTCAAGTAGTTTAACCCAGCCCCAGACTTGTCCCTCCCTCCTTCCCTCCCTCCCTCCCTCTCTCTGGCTGGCTGCTGAAAGTAGGTTAGTTAGCCTGACGCCCAACTCTACTACTCTTTTCCACCTAATTCCAAGGAAGCCCCTCGGGTACTGGATGAATGCCTGGCCGCTGTGGTTGTCTGGATGAGGATGAATAAGCTGAGGATCGATCCTGACAAGACAGAGGTCCTCCTGGTCAATCGTAAGCCGGATAAGGGTATGGGGTTGCACTCCCCCTGAAGGCACAGGTCCGCAGCTTGGGTGTCCTCTTATTATTAACTTTATTTGTACCCCGCTAGCATCTCCCGAAGGACCAGTGGTTCTCAACCTGGGGGTCGGGACCCCGAGGGGGGTCACGGGGGTGTGTCAGAGGGGTCGCCAAAGACCATCAGAAAGCACAGTATTTTCTGTTGGTCATGGGGGTTCTGTGTGGGAAGTCTGGCCCAATTCTATCGTTGGTGAGGTTCAGAATATTCTTTGATTGTAGGTGAACTATACATCCCAGCAACTACAACTCCCAAATGTCAAGGTCTATTTCCCCCAAAATCTACTAGTGTTCACATTTGGGCATATTGAGTATTTGTGCCAATTTTGGTCCAGATACATCATTATTTGAGTCCACAGTGCTCTCCGGATGTAGGTGAACTACAACTCCCAAACTCAAGGTCAGTGCCCACCAAACCCTTCCAGTATTTTCTCTCGGTCATGGGAGTTCTGTGTGCCAAGTTTGGTTCCATTCCATCATTGGTGGAGTCCAGAATGCGCTTTGATTGTAGGTGAACTATAAATCCCAGCAACTACAACTCCCAAATGACAAAATCAACCCCCCTCCCCCCAACCCCACCAGTATTCAAATTTGGGCAGGTCATTTGGGAGTTCTGTGCGCCACGTTTGGTTCAGTTCCATCGTTGGTGGAGTTCAGAATGCTTTCTGATTGTAGGTGAACTATAAATCCCAGCAACTACAACTCCCAAATGACAAAATCAACCCCCCCCCCCCTAACCGCACCAGTATTCAAATTTGGGCATGTTGGGTATGTGTGCCAAATTTGATCCAGTGAATGAAAATACATCCTGCATATCAGATATTCATATGACGATACATAACAGTTGCAAAATAACAGTTATGAAGTAGCAATGGAAATAATTTTATGGTTGGGGATCAACACAACATGAACTGTATTAAGGGGTCGCGACATTAAGAAGGCTGAGAACCACTGTCCTAGACTCATTGCTAACACTTGAAGCTCAGGCGTCGGCGGTGGCTGGGAGGGCCTTTGCACAATTAAGACTCGTGCGCCAGCTGCGACCATACCTCATGAAGTTGACCAGGGTGGTCCACGCCTTAGTCACCTCCAGATTGGATTACTGTAATGCACTCTATGGGGGCTGCCCTTGAAGACGGCTCGGAAATTTCAATTGGTCCAACGGGCGGCAGCCAGGTTACTAACTGGGGCGACTTACTGGGAGCGGTCAACCCCCCTGTTTAAGGAGCTCCATTGGCTGCCGTTCATTTTCCGATCCCAATTCAAGGTGCAGGTTCTTACCTACAAAGCCCTGAACGGTTTGGGACCCGCCTACCTGCGTGACCGCATTTCTGTGTACCAACCCACGCAATCACTTCGATCATCTGGAGAGGCTCTGCTCTTGCTCCCACCTCCTTCGCAGGTGCAGTTGGAGGGGACGAGGGAGAGGTGACCCCCGACTCTGGAACTCACTCCCCAAGGATATCAGACAAGCCCCCACATTGGCAGTCTTTAGGAGGAGCCTGAAAACGTGGCTGTTCCAGTGTGCCTTCCCTGAATAAAGGAAACAATCCCCTGCAATATATCCTGAGAAGCACTTCAACTACCCGTTGGGCTGCTCTCTACTTTTCATTTAAAGCCCTCCTACTAGATACATCCTCTGTTCATGTCAAGCATTTATTTTTAAAGTTTTAACTCTTACATCTGACCTGGCCATAGGTTTTTAAATTTAAATTGTCTATGTGTGAGTTATATTAACTGTATTGTTTATTTTGCTTATTCCCTGTTATTTTTATTGTTGTGTTGTTGGGCTTGGCCTCATGTAAGCCGCTCCGGGTCCCTTGGGGAGATGGTGGCGGGGTATAAATAAAGTTTTATTATTATTATTATTAATCTTAGCCTGAGAATGAGACATATGGTCTTTGGCTCATTCTGCTTTTCTCGGTCACTGGTGCTTTTACCTCCTTGACTCACTTTGCCTTGGCCACAACAGCCTCCCTTGGCCTCCAACTCAACTCCAAAACCCAGACCTTTTCCAGACCCTTGGGCTGGTTTCTCTTGAGTTTCCAAAGCCCTGCCATGTTCATATTATTCTCCCTCCTTTGCCTCCAAAGCAAGGAAACGTGGCTGCAGCTGCCGGATGATCATACAGTGGAATCTGGGCTTAAGTGCGTCTCAACTTAAGAGCATTTTGAGTTAAGAGCCATCTCTCAGCCCAGGTTTTGTTTTGATATATGAGCAGAGTTTTGCGTCAAGTGTGAGTGCCAGAGGAAGCAAAGGTTTTAGGACTTCAAGGGAGGGGAGCAACCTCTGGGCCTTGTGCCTCATGCTTTGTCTGCTTTTGAGAAACTTTGAGTTAGTTGATTTTGTTGATTTCTGGTATGTTGGGCCGGGCTTTAGCATGGCAGGTTAACCGCCAGCTGTAGTAAAGCTTGCCTATAGAAAGATTTGAAGCCTGGGTTGGGGTGAGCTCCTGGTGTTTAGTCCAGTTTCTGCCAACCTAAGCAGCTCCAAAAAGAAGATAAATAGGTATCGCTTTATATTGGGGAGGTATTTAAGGCACCCATAAGAAAATGCCAGCAATTTGATCAAGGAGGAAGTTTACGAACAAAGCTCTTCAGCAGGGAAGATAGAGCAAAAGCACCCCCCCCCACCCCCCAGTGGCTGGAATTGAGCACAGACTCCAAGACGCCGAAGATGGGAAAGCCTATATATACACCTCTATCTAGGTACAGTTGTCTGTTTTGTCAGTGTATAATAATCCTGCCCTTCTCACCCTAAAAGGGGACTCAGGGTGGCTTTGCAGCAGGCGGCAATTTGATGCCAATACATCAAAATATGAAAATTAAAAGCACACATGAATGATTAAAACATCAATTAAAATCACGTAATCCAGATCGTAGTCCAAGGCTCTCCAATTGTCGATTCCATTCGTCCGTTACCCTTATTGTACTATTCACTGGTGTATTGCTTGGTCCCACAGCCACATCTTAAGCTTCTTCCTGAAAGACAGGAAGAAGCTTCCTGTCTTTCATTGCTGAGGGAGATCCATAGCCGAGGGGCCACCACTGAGAAGGCTTTCCCCATCTTTGGCATCTTGGAGGCTTGTGTTCAGTTCTGGTCACAGGGGGGTGCTGTCACTCCCTCTTCCCTGCCGAAGAGTTTTGTCCATAAACTTCCTCCTCGGCAACTAAAATAATCAAAGGTCTGGAGCACAAGCCCTATGAAGACTGGCTTAAAGAGCTGGGCATGTTTAGCCTGAAGAAGAGAAGGCTGAGAGGCGACATGATAGCCATGTATAAATATGTGAGAGGAAGTCATAGGGAGGAGGAAGCAAGCTAGAGACTAGGACGCAATGGAACAATGGCTTCAAACTACAAGAAAGGAGATTTCATCTGAACATTAGGAAGAACTTCCTGACTGTGAGAGCTGTTCAGCAGTGGAACTCTCTGCCCCGGAGTGTGGTGGAGGCTCCTTCTTTGGAGGCTTTTAAACAGAGTCCCCTGGGAACGTCCTTGTTGTTTTTGTTCATTCGTTCAGTCATCTCCGACTCTTCGTGACCTCATGGACCAGCCCACGCCAGAACTCCCTGTCGGCCGTCACCACCTTCAGCTCCTTCAAGGTCAGTCCAGTCACTTCAAGGATGCCATCCATCCATCCATCCTCCTTGTAGGAGGCTTCTCTCATGTCCCCGCAATTGGGAGCTGGAGCTGGTAGAGGGAGCTCATCCGCCTCTCCCCAGATTCAAACCTGTGACCTGTCGGTCTTCAGTCCTGCCGACACAGGGGTTTAACCCCCAGGGGCTCCGGTGTCATGATTTTGGATTTTTTTAATGCTTGCCTCCAACAGACAAGAGTTCTTTCTCCCACCCTGGACATCATTCCACAAATAAATAAACCTCACTTGCCTAGTTTCCAACAGACCTCACAACCTCTGAGGATGCCTGCCATAGATGTGGGTGAAATATCAGGAGAGAATGCTTCTGGAACATGGCCATAGAGCCTGGAAAACTCACAGCAACCCAATATTAACAGAGGACAACGGTAACGGCATTCACTATGACCACTGACCCGATTTTCCCCAGCCGTTTAATGCAGGTGGCATTGCAACCTTGCATCCCTGGTATGCTGTTTAACTGTGGATTTAGTGTTCTTGGAGTTATGACGATTGCTCTGCTCTCAATTGCTGGGGCCCAGCAGATCTGCTGGAATGCTGCCTCCTACACAACCTTTTGTCTCCTTTAAGTTTTGCTGTCAAAGCTGTGCTGTGGATCTCTCCTTTGGAATGTCCTCCCTCTTTTTCATCCGTCTTTGCTGGACTTCAGGAGCTTTTCAAGGACTTATTATTCCCGCCTGCGTTAATTCATTATGTATACTTTCAACTGCTGCCATCTCGTTTGCTATTTTAATGATTCATGCAATGAACATTGTTTTGCTGGTTTTGCGGTCTGAGTCAAACTGAAAAGCAACCCAAGCCTCTTGCAGTGTGCTTTGGGAGGGTTTTCACCCCAAAATGAGGCCAAAACTGAATTAAATAAGGCTTCGTAAGCAAAGAGCCATTGCATAAGTTGGACGGGGAATTGTTTCATTTTAGCATTCTAACTTCATTTTGCTATACAACTCTGCAAGAGCCAGTATGGTATAGTGCAGACTTTCCCTTGAATCCTTTTTGAGGATGCAAGGGAAGGTCTAAAGCAGTATTTGTCAACCTGGGGGTCGAGACCCCTAAGGGGGTCTCGAGGGGATTTCAGAGGGGTCACCAAAGACCATCAGAAAATATATATTTCTGGTCTCAGGAACCCCTTTGGCAGAGAAGGCTGAAGATCTCTCCGCCTGTCCTTCTCTTCCTTTTTGGAAACAGACTGCAAATCATTCCACCAAAACCCCTCCTCTGTAATTGTGCTGTCACACACCAGGCCTGTGAAAGAGTCTGTAGACAGGACGTGTTTTCTAAATGCC